GAAAGGTGCCCCCTGCCCCCCGTCTGGATAGGCCCTACGCCACTGGATAATGGCAACCCAAATGGTTAACAATGAGATTTTAAGAGAATGGTTCATAAATATAGAGTTTCCACACTAGACGCGGCAAAAATCTCTATCAAGTTACAATGTTCGATTTTATGGTTCTTTAAAAAAATGTATAACTTGGCCTTAAAAACTGTTCAGCAGGGCTAATGTGAAGTACAAAAATATAAACTTCAATATCAAAATTTCCAGCATATTTTTGAATGTTACATAGGTTGCATCATAAATCACAAACTAATTGGTGCATTAAAAGTGGAGCGCAACACTTGAATAATTCACAAATTCATGATTATACGGAAAAACTGAAGAAGCTACAACCGCTCCCGAAAACCCACAAATACATTCGCAATTTAGGGCCAAGCGAGAATTCTGAGCAGTTGTACAGTTCTCTTAGGGTTTAATGATAATAATGAAATATTAAAATGTTATATCCGGTTAGCCATTGTGAGAGATAAGACTAAATTCACTCAAAATCCTACCTTTATTGGGGAGTAAGACAGCACACAAGAACAAGGCCGGCAGCACGACGTCTCTTAGGCGGCAAAGGCACAATGACGCCATGTCCTCATCTACAAGTGAATGTTTCCTTTTCTCATGGACAATTGTTGTGATCAGTGCTTCAGAAGGAAACCAGAAAATTCGACGATCCTTATGTGTCACCCGTGTTCACTATCTTGTGCAAGAAACAATGTAACTGCGTATACGGCAGTATAGTTTATTTACGGAACCTTTGTACCGTGTTGTACAGTTATCATGTACCCTTACAACAAAGCGGTTGTTTATGGTGGCCCTAAAGGGACATCGCATATCGCAAACGTGTGCGCATACGTATGCGATGTCGCGAAATTTATCGCGAATGTGTGCGCACACGTATGCAATGTCGCAAAATTTATCGCGAATATGTGCGCACACGTATGCGATGTCGCGAAATTTATCGCGAATATGTGCGCACACGTATGCGATGTCGTGAAACAATTCGCGAATATGTGCGCACACGTATGCAAATTTGTTTGCAATGTCGTGAATTTTATTGCATACCTTGTCGCATACCTTTCAGTAAAATTCCTAATGAACTGGGGAGTTGTAGCAGCTAGTCTGGAATCTAGACGTTCTGTTAGATATAAATAGGGTCTGACTAATAAACCTTCGCGCGCACGCTGTTCCTCGTGCAATCGTTACTACTAGTACTAGTACTGTCGAGTGCAAACTTGCTACTTCCGCAACTTTGAAATTTCAAACTTGCGCGCGCAAATTTCAAAGTTGCGCAAGTAGCAAGTTTGCGCTCGACAGTACTAGTAGTAACGATTGCACGAGGAACAGCGTGCGCGCGAAGGTTTATTAGTCAGACCCTATTTATATCTAACAGAACGTCTAGATTCCAGACTAGCTGCTACAACTCCCCAGTTCATTAGGAATTTTACTGAAAGGTATGCGACAAGGTATGCAATAAAATTCACGACATTGCAATCACATTCGCATACGTGTGCGCACATATTCGCGAATTGTTTCACGACATCGCATACGTGTGCGCACATATTCGCGATAAATTTCGCGACATCGCATACGTGTGCGCACATATTCGCGATAAATTTCGCGACATCGCATACGTGTGCGCACATATTCGCAATAAATTTTGCGACATCGCATACGTGTGCGCACATATTCGCGATTAATTTCACGACATCGCATACGTGTGCGCATATATTCGCGATAAATTTCGCGACATCGCATACGTGTGCGCACATATTCGCGATAAATTTTGCGACATCGCATACGTGTGCGCACACATTCGCGATAAATTTCGCGACATCGCATACGTATGCGCACACGTTTGCGATATGCGATGTCCCTTCAGGGCCACCATAGTTGTTCGTGTAGAATTAATATGTAGCTCCACTTAGTTATTTCCTGGTTGAAATAATTCTTAAGTTACTAACTTAAGGCCCCCCCAAAAAGTCTCCGGTTTCTGGTATGCGCGCGCGTCGCCGTAGCCATGATGTCTCAAAACCGCCAAACTCACTGGTTTGACTGAAATCCTGCTGCTGCACAGTTTTAACGTGTTTTTAGATGGGGTTATGATCGAGAATAAGCTTTATGTGGCCTCTCTAGACTCCCATATATTTGCACTAAGTTTAGTCGGGCACCTTTTGCAGTCATCAGCCGACATTTGAAGCAAAAAAAAAACAGGTAAAAAAAAAGAAGAAGCCGTGTCGCCGCACCACTTTTTGGGCAAGCTCTCCATACCAGAAACCGGAGACTTTTTTTTGGCCTAAATGATTATACGTTTGTATTTGACACGAGGCTCTATTATAACAAAGGGTTCCTTTCTTTCAGTGTAACCGACAGAATAGGAACCTAGGCCTCGGTTCACAAAAAACGGACCCGTTTTCTGCAGTACGTAGTTCGTAAAGTCCCTTGCACCTGCTTCAAAATGCAATTCTAGATATTTGTGTGATAGTTGATTGGGCATGAAACCGTCTACATTTAATTAACCACTTCGGTAGTACCCCGCGCGACTTAGAGGTTCACGTCAAAGGTCACGACTCTGCGGGGTACACTGTTATTTCGGTTGTGTAAAAATCAAACGGTTGTGTACTATATGAACCTTGCAACCAGATGCGTAAACAGTTGTTTATACAACTTGCGTAAAATATTACACAAGTTGTTCATTTTCTTTTTACACAACTGGTTGCTAGGTTCATATAGTACACAACCGAAATAACAGTGTAAAGACAGACATGACATGACTGATGACGTACATGTAATAAAGGTCGCTGCTTACTTTTGGTTAAAAATGTACATACATGGCACCAACCGAAATTAATTTTAGAAAGTACGACAAAGAACCTTGCCTTGAAGATCGATGCTTATCCCGAATGTTCTATACTTAATACATGCACATGAAATCGTCGTCGGATCTAGGATGCCAGGATGGGGATGGGACTGGGGTGGGTCTTTGCCATTAAACGAAGCTATATATAACACAGGAATGAACCAATGCTTTTAAGGTAAGGAGACTTTTGAATAGGAACAGTAATTGTTTCTATTTTGCGGGGGCCTTGCGACGGCTGTTGCACTTGAGTCACAAAACATTCACAAAATCTTGAATATAGAATCAGGGATATAGTACAGGTGCGGTGTTCTATGTTGCATACTATTATTATCAGATTGTAAAACCATATGGAATGTAATGAGTCCTTTAAACAGTGTACATGCATTGCGGGCAGGCCTTTATTTTCATGTTGCTCATGATTTTGTTATAAATTTGTTATTGTTTTAATTTGGTCTTCATGGGTGGATCTTATATATAGTGGAAAGACATAAAATCTGAAATGTATTAACGATTCAGGGAAACCGCACATAGCTAACTAAATTCGTATAAAAGTGGTCTTGAACATTGTCCCGCGATAAGGCTTCTGCATAAGCGGCTTTGAAATCAACGTTTCCGCATTGCAGTATTATTAATGCTTCAACTCCCTATGTAAATGCAAAACAAACCGAAAGTTTACTTTACTCTAAAGTTTCTATTTCGTCGGGTTGTTCAAGCTTAAGTTATCTTCCTGTTGTTCTTGGTCTTGTTTTTAGTTTACACAATGTGTATGTATGATTAACACGATAACTATAATTACACGCATCTCTTCAAATGCACAATATCAAAACGAGGAAATAACACTGTGATGAATGGATGCTATTGTGTACGAGAGTTCAGTGGCGGTTCTGCGGGGGGGGGGGGGGGGGGGGGCGGGGGCTTTAGCCTAATTTGTCTAGCCCCCCCCCAAAAAAACCCCAAAAATTCCATAAAAAATGCGCTAGCAATATGTATGAATGTGACGTACATGCGAACGGTCTCCCCCTCAATAAATAGTCGTGAGAAGGGTGCATTTGTACACTTTTAGTTAATATTGTGTGCCCGATTGAAGGTTTTTATCAGCGCTCGCCATTGAAAATATGGCAGGACCGCCCCCTCCCCGCCCCGTAATGATTTTCGGAGGCCTAAGTGTCCGGAAAAAATAACTGGTCTACATTTCAGCACGCCTCCCTAAAACAATTTCTGGATCCACCCTGCAAGCCTCCCCCCCCCCAAAAAAAATGGCTCTAGAACTGCGCCTGCGGGAGTTTGTTTCTAGATTCAATATGGGACGGGTACGAGCGAAACACGAATAAAGAGCGAGGATGAGGATCCTTTAATACATGCCCTTGCAGGGTCACCGCGGTTGCGGTTTAAATGCCTGTGGCGGATCTACTCTGGTTAGGAAGGGCGTCTAAACTCCCCTCTTGGGCCGCCCAAAAATAGGACAATCCGGTAATAAAACACAGCAAATGCTTGCCAAACCCCCATTTGGCAGCTACCCCCCCCCCTTGATCCAAACTTTGATCCACCCCTGCATGTTAGTGTGACGTCATTTCAATTCAATCATGCGTAGCATAGCACGAACGGAACCGGAAGCTAACGCACCTCGAGCGTTTATCCAATGGGCGCTAGTTATCAGTGGTGTGCGTGCGTGTATGACGCTTTTAGGCCAAAAAAGTCTCCGGTTTCTGGTATGGAGCTTGCCCAAAAAGTGGTGCGGCGACGCGTTTTTTTTTTTTTACCTGTTTTTTTTATGCTTCAAATGTCGGCTGATGACTGCAAATGGTGCCCGACTAAACTCAGTTCAAATGGGAGTCCAGAGAGGCCACATACAGCTTATTCTCGATCATAACCCCCTGCAGCAGCAGGATTCCAGTCAAACCAGTGAGTTTGGCGGTTTTGAGACATCATCTTTTATTGAAAATTTCATTTTGCCGACGCGCATGGCTACGGCGACGCGCGCTTACAAGAAACCGCAAACTTTTTTTTGGGCCTTACTAACGAATTGGATACCCTTCCACGGATAACCCACCCTTCAACGGAGCCCAGAGCTACAAAACCCATGTAGCTCTATGCACGGAGCTACCTCTACGAATCACTGTCAGCGCGTACGTCCCCGCGTATTTTCTCTGGGCGTGGACGTGCTCTAGACAGTTTACTGATTCGGATGCAGCCTGTGTTATGTCAAAATTCATTTTTCCGGCCATGGGTGTTGGCGAAGGGGGGCAACGGTGGCGCAGCCCCCCCCCCCCCGAAAAAGTAAAACGAAAAACAAAAAGAAAACAAAAAGAAGAAAAAAAGGGGCAAAATGTCCCTGCCCCCCTCTAAAACTGATAAATCGAGAATATGTTGAGAAATGCAGGAAAATATGTTTCCCCCCCTCTAGAACAAATCCTGGCGACGCCCATGTTTCCAGGTCTTGCACGAAACTTTACCCGAAACCGTTCGTTTATTTAGCGCCACTGCGCATGTCTGTCATCACGCGAGGAGCCAGGCGCGAGTAAGCTCGGGGAAGTAATCGAACGCACTCTATGTGGACATGGAATGGTTGACCCTAACCCAAGTCACCAATTCAATTGGTCCACATGAGGTTCCGGACCAGTAATAAGCCTCTGTACTGATGACGTCACATGTGCACTTTCCTATGGAACTAGTGGGGGCCCCGTGAAGGCAGTCCGCGGCGTTTTAATGGCTTTACTCACAGTGGTCAATACTGAGCCAGTATACGATGGATTTCAAAAGAAAACAAAGATAGAAGATAAGACTTTGAGGAGGGCGGTATTTCAGTGTGAGCCGATCATATCTAATGACTTGCGGTTCCTTTCCTACGAACATGGCGCAAATACGCGGAGAGAAAAGGGCCAGCATCAATATTATATAAATTGTGAAAATCGTCGCATGGGGGCGCTGCGCGTAACAGTGAGATAGTGTGCAACCTGTGAAGTCTCAAAAGGGATATAGCAATGTTTTATGCCAACAAGTCCTGTAGTGCATACAACATGTTCATTACGTCTATAGGACTTGGGATAGAAGGGGGAAAAGAAGAAATAAAAAACCTGAACAAAAACAAAAGCTGTTTCGGAACTCTGTAGAAATACATGCAGTAGAACACCATTTAAACATCCGATGTCAAGATCCATTCCAAGTCTCTTCATACATTGCATAGAAGCAAAACCTATAGGAGGCTTGTAATTTGAAATAATTTCAACATGACTGTGACGGATGTTTACATTGATTTGAGCAATAATAAAGTGGAAAGAAATTTGCTAAATTGAAGTCTTGATTGATAATACAATGTACAGGGAGATAGCTATTGGATTGACTAAGTAAAGTTGCTTTATTCTTTTTGTTTTGGTGGCAGGGTTAGACTGGACTGGGGAGGGGGAGGTGGCAGATGTTTATTTCTCCTATATTGGCGATTGGGGGATGCTAAAAGGACATAGTTTTCGTGAGGAAAATCCTGAGAATTAGTGTAATTTTTACAGTCCTCAAGACATTTTTTAATTAAAAAAATTGGACCTTGCCAAAACAAATAGAAAATATTGCAGCAAATTCATAATTCATCCCTTTGCTTTCGTTTTGTCATTTTGTGAGGGAGGGGGAGGGGGATCTCGACGGAGATTTGGAAAATTATCAGCTTCAAAACGGCATTTTACTTGTCACGTGTACTTTGTGTGCCTGTGTTGATAATGCATGACGCTATCAAACTTATAGAGGGCGCTATGATAAAGTAACAGTCACATCTACGATGGTTGGATGGAGTACATCGATAGTTATAGCTTTATAAAGACTATTCAGAGTACAAGGGATCGGGCATTCAGCATCATGACATTGTGTTATGCATTCGATTCAGTGCTAAACAGAAATATCACAGTAAAATATATTAATAAAAAATGCAAAAAAGTCAACGACAAAAAAGTCTGAACAACAAATTCCCTTAATTTTGCCAGCATTTTATTGAAAGTTCTTCATTATTAATTCAATCATATCTTACCACTACATGGGTCGTGATTTTGTTTACAGTGCTCTTTGAAGCAGGCCTGTCCCAATACACCTTATCCGTTGAATGTGTCTCAGAGAGTGCTCATTCTTGTTATATTTTAGGAACAATAAATGCTCAACTGGTTTACTCACGCCTTTTCAGGCGATACGAAACCGCTGCCCTCTGCCTTAACACACGTGTCTGTTGTGTACAAAAACCCCAAGTAGCACTAGTTCGTTAAAAACAGTTGACTGCAAACAGTTCTGGAAATTATCTCAGACAAGCAGTAAGTATTAGTTAAGCATTCCCTGTGCTATTTTCAAGTTTAATTTCACTTCGAAAAAATATAATTTATTTTCAATTGCAATATAAAAGTTACTTGCTTTTTTGAATGAGTCGCTGAACAAAAAAATAATTTCTTCACAAAATTCGAGTTATTGGTTGCGAGAGAATATTTCGGCTCTCGCCGTGCGGGTTACTTGTGGAAAAAAAATGAAATCCATATTTCAGAGATATACTATATTAGAGAGTAATAAAAAAATACCAATTGAAAATTTGTTAGGAGAGAAATTATATCAACTTTTTTTAAGAGGACGGGGTATTATCTTTAAGTAAGGCCCCCCCCCCAAAATACTTGGTCTCTGGTCAGCGCGCGCGTCGATTTTAATCATGCACGTCAACCTTTTTTTCTCCTTCAAATTAACACGGAAGCTACAACAGCGCCCTCTATTGCCGCACCTCCTCAAATTTTTGTACCAAGGAGCACCAAGGAATGGGGAAATTGCACCAAGGCAAATGATAAAGGGCACCAAGGCAAATTATGGAGGACACCAATGTATAATGAGGACACCAAAAAAGCAAAATAGTACCCCTTGTCTGTTCAATTCAAGCTTGAAAAAAAAAGCCACCAAAAACAAAACAAAACAAAAAACAAAAAACCGCGTCGCCGCATCAATTCCGGAACTTCGGTCTGACCAGAGACCGACTAACTTTAGCCTAAGTTCCAATTCTGTCACACAGCCAGGCTGAAAAAGGCAACTACAGTTCTTCAAGTCTGCGGAGGAATTATCTCATAATTAGTGAAGATCATTCACCTGCTTGTAGCACTAATTATGAATTGAATCAATAATGTATATTCCATGCCCAAAAGAACAGTTTCATTCGAAATGAAAGCTGTTAAAACAAATTCTGATGAATAGCCGACTTTGTTCAAAGTTGGTGGGTTGGGGAATTATTGCCTAATTTGTATTGCTAAAAGCGAGACTACATCGGTGTCAGTTTTCATGCATGCCATACTAATTTTCCCTTTAATTTTTTTCAAAAAAGGATTTTGTTTATTCTGAAATAACATTACATGTATAGTATTCTGGAATACACATGTTAATATCGGCATATCAGACTAGATAACTAAAATGCAGAAAAAAAACCTGTCTCGCGTAAATTATGTTTAGTTTTAAAGTAGCTGTGGGTAGTAAAATACTGTGGTATATGTTTTAGGTATTAAAATTATCACTAATACAACCCTGATGACATATATCTTGTTCGTTTGTAACCAATAGACCTGATACATAGCGGACATTTTAGATGCTATTTTTTAATTTTAATTCAGCAACAATGAGTACACAATGACATACAATTCACTCAAACGTATCCCAACAAAACAAAGGTATTGCCCTTTAAGATGGCTGCTACGCAAAAGGTTTATAGCCTACTTCATATTCGCCAATGCACCAATGCCCCACCCTTTATAAGGCTTGGGCGACGTACATCTTTCTGTACAGGAAACGCGAAGTGTTGCGGATAGGTTTGTGTAAATACTACATATATCATTCTGAAAGTTGTGAAATCGAGCGAAGATGATTAGGTGCCTTTTTGGAGTTACCCTGGGTAAATAGCTCAATATTCTACTCCGCAAGTTTGTTTATTTTAATAAAAGCTAAGCTGCCCTTCCATTAATGCCTGTTTTGTAGTCCGTTTCGTGTCTGTTAAGCAGTTTCGCCTTTGGTGCACAAGCATCGATGGATAAAAAAATAAATGAAAACAAATATCCTCAAAAGACGACCTTTTCTACATTTTCTCGTGAATTATTTACAAGGCTGTCAGTTTCTGACAATCTATTCCCGTCATTTATACAAAAAGTCGTTAAATATAAATCCTAAATCGTCCTAAAAAGTCTGATCACACACTTTTTTTTATACTTCTATACTTAATATTATACAGCGTATAATATTATATCCAAATACGTGATCAAATATTTACAAAAATAAAGACCCTGAAAACAAACTGTATAACGTTAATTATCCCAAAATAAACTGTTTAATACTTGTATCAAGAATATAGCTTTAACAACTTGCATTAGCAAAAATTATAGCTTGTGTTGTAACAGAGAAAACAAAAATATATAGCTCTGGGTAAAATATTATATGCTAAAACGGGTAACACTTAGTTACATACAAAATGTACTCTCAGTCATGGGAGGGGAATTGGCCACCAAATAGCTCAATCTAGTTTCTAATGTTTCTGTCGAGAACAGTACATTTTGGAGAGATAAACACTGTACTTTTTAAAAATCTTCCATTTCACCAGATTTGATACACCATGTGTGGAGAATCCAAGGGGATTTTGAACCGGTGGTCTCTAGAATAAGATGCTAACGCTGTATTGACTGAGCTATGCAGACCTAATGCTGACGATCTCCCAATTTATCTAAAGTTTCTGTGGGTACACTATGGTCATTTTTGTGTAGTCCCTAACTGAGACAAGTCACATTTCAAAAATGTGATATCCTTGGCGTTCTACCTTACGCGGTAGAGTCCAGTCCAGCTGAGAGTGTGACGTTCTCGTAGATGCTAGTAGAGTCCAGCATGGCCTGAATCACATCGTAACACAGTACGTATTGGTCCTGGTAAGACGAACAAATGGTAAAATTCATCAGCTGCTCTCTGAATGAGAGCGAAACTAAGGACTAGTCGATTTAGAGTAAAAATCACTCTATTTAATGATTAAGTACGCTGAAAAAAGGGGACTCAATTGAATTTAATACACTCAATTGAAATTCACCCTAAATTTTCTGGTCCTAGTTTTAGTCGTTGGGACAAAATGTTCACTCGAAATCTATCCAATGAGAGCTCAACGAGATTAGCTTTTCCCATCGTCCTGTTTGCAGGGCGGGGGGTACGAGAGAACATGCTGTGATCATCGAAAGCGCGACGTGATTGGAACGCCCCATTTTCCCGAATTTCACGCATGCGCATGTAGACCACCATAACAAAGGAGGTCGTGAACGGCTGCACGTGCCTATCTCTCATTTCGTCTTATGTGCTATTAACTTTCCAATATACCAGAATATACCAGAGAGCAACAACAACAAATTTAGTGAGTAAAACTTATTTACTTTTTTTTTTTACAGAATTTTGAACAATTAACAAAAACGCTCGAAGTTGGGCACTTTAGGGTTAAACTTTTCAATTTTTTGGGCACTGAAACAGTTAATGTATAACGCGGAATGGGCATCGCGGTCAAGCTAGTTACACAGGCTGCTTCAATAAAAACCGGCAACCTCGTCAACTGCAGAAAGCCTCAACAGGCAACTACTTAATGCTATTCACCGTTCAAGGCGAGAAATTAACAAACAGTCAACGTGTTAAGGTGTGCAAATGAGAGAAGTGTAAGCGTGAAGAATATTAAATGCTAGAGTAGGCCCAATATGAGTACCACGACGGCCGTCTACTACAACTACATAGTGAGGAAAAACGCAGTATTCTGTCTTTTTTCAAAGAAAAATATGTCGAAATAGTTAATGATACCCAACAACTTTGTGTACAGCTAACAATTATACCTCTATATTTCCGAAAGATATGTCTTACCACTGCCAGATAAATGTTTAAAAGTACGTCCAGTAAGATGGTGGGTATGACATCATAAATAAAAGTAAATCGAGAGTAACTTCCTTGGAGAGAGAGTGTGAGCACGACACAATACTTACCAGCGAGTTCATCATGTTTTGGTTTACCATGCGCAGACGATGAGCTGCTTGGAACACGTCCACGGCTTTCTCGACATTGAACTGTTCCAACAGCGCCATCAACGTGCAGTACACAGAAGTAATACCCAGACCATCCCTAGAAATGCAAAAAGAAAATATGAAAATAACAAAAACTCAATCAAATTGAATTCATAACAACAACCAATACATACATTTTCATATATGATGGTCATCTTGAGTAACTGTTAACATTCTAAAGATGTCAAATAACTCTTGAATCAGATAACTTGAAAACTTGAATCAGAATAATCTCTTAACAAGGATCTGGAATAATTCAAGAAAAATACTATCACAAGGTATAAATTCTAGACAAGAATAAAAAACACAAGGTTGGAATTTCCTTAAAAGAAACAATAAAAGGGATTAATATAAGATTTACTTACGGCGACATGCACCTCGGAGTTAATTGGTTGTACACATTCAAGCAAGTACTGAAGACAATAGTCCTCTTCAATAATATTCAATATTAAAATGGTTCATATCTACATTTTTTTTCGTTACAGTTGCCAAATTCCGCGAGGGATATCGAATGCTTTGATTCTATCTAAGTCTTAAGCCAGTAGGTTGATCTAAAAATACCCGGATAGGCTTTGTTGGCCAAATTCCTCTGGGTTGGTACGTGACAGAAACAGATTAAAATCAATAAATGTAGAACTAGCCAAGAAAAACCCGGACCCAGCGACCCAGACATAATAATGTAATACTTTTTAACAATACTCCTCACACATCTAGAATTCCCCGTTCGACTTACATGCAGTGGACAACAATAGGTCCTTTGTCTCCGGTCCACTTTCGAGCGAGATCCATGAGGTTCAGCATTCCTGGCACGGAATTCGGTATCTCCTGGTCGGAGGGCCAGTCGTGGTATTGGAATTGGATGATGGTGCGTGCTTCCTCAGACTGTAAAAGATGTAAACTCAGTTTTGTTATGTGCACAAGCATTAGCTGCAAGGCTTTGACTAGTAAATATCCACCAAAAGGCCAGGCGATGTGTTCTGCGTGTGATAATTTTCTCTGGTGATTCTTGCTCGGCAAGTTACTTTGCTATATTTTCTGCTAAGCAAATCGAAGTAATTGGCATCTGGACTGAGGTAATATATTTATCAAAAACAATTTTGAATTTTGTCACATTAGGGTATCACATTATAGCGTGAAATTTGCTAAGCACCAACAATTTGCCCACTAAGTACAATTTATTAGCCTCCTTACATCACCACATTTTATGAACAGGCGTTTTTGAAGGGCTGAATGGGAAAAGGAATCTGCCTTTGCACTAGAGATACAATCTCCAAAGTGCTAACTAGGGGTTGGTCTGACCTAACCAAATACTATTAGAATACTAAGAATAGTTAATGTTAAGTGCTCTCCAAGAGCATTAAAACATGTTTAGCAAGCTTTGGGACTGGGAACATAACATTCATGCAAAACCAGTTCAGATATCATTTAAGGCATATAGGCAAGTTTGCTTTTCATGCATTTGTTCGTTTCAAATAACACCACTCTAAATCCAAACAAGAATATTTAAAACCTAACCTGTTGAAGTTTGAGCTTAGTGGATTATACACTTAAAAAAAAACGGTATAAACCCATGCACAACCTTTTGATCACGAAACACGATTTTGTCCATTAATATCTTTGTTTCGAAACAAAAATCATTCAATTGACTGACGGTTGGAATTCACCAACATTTCTTAATTTCTTCCCAAAAACAGGATTAAATTCACTATGTGTTTTAAGTACAATATACAATCTTTCATATCCAAGGAAGCTTAATAATTCGGTATGTTACTTTTGGGATAAATGCAGATGATCATGTAAGCAGATACAATTTTTTTTTTGTAATATACCGCGTTATTGGTGTTCCTTAGCGTGAAGGTGCATCGTGTCACACTGTCGGATCGCTTGGTCTGGATAAGTTCGACGGACAGCTTGCCAAAGTTAATGGTTCCCTCCTCCGGCCAGTAGCGACACATGGTCTATAATCAGAAGACACACGAGTCATTTAAATCTAAAGGCGTTTTTTTAAAGCCTTTTCTGAAAATATCGTTATGACTTGATAAAAACACGTATCACCTAATAGTTTAAGATCACAGGCGTTTTTTTTAAAGCGTTTTCTGAAAATAGGTTATGACTTGATAACCCAACGTATCACCTAATAGTTTCTAAATTAAAAGAAAACAGCCCTGTCTTCGATTTCTAAAATGAGAATATTTTGTTACCAAAATGTACAGGGAGATTTCATTCAAGAGCACACGAATCTTCTGCATCGCCTAAGACAGATATGCACCCTAAGTATACAAACCCTCCTGAAGTATCACGTACCAGCCGCGAATTGGTAAGTGAGTAAATATTATAATTTAATTGGGAGACATTGCATGAACGTGTGCAGAAACAATTCTGAAATGTCATGACACTTAACCCTAACCTACACTAAATAAATGTGGGTTTTGCATACTGAGGATTCGATTTAGGCTCTATTTGCGACATTAAAAATATGTCCAGAAATAGGACTTGGATATCACCCTAATATACCTTTTTGTCTCCCTATAAGCAAAAAGTGTCTCCCTAATAAGCCGTCTGCGTACTGAAATATCGTTAAATATCAGTCGATCATGCAAGGGGATATTTACTCGTATAATCCATAGTAACATTTCATGATAACAAACCATCGTAACTTTTGGAAATGAGATTGACATGAGCTGTCTTCATACCTTGTCGTTGGCATCAAAGGTGTTCAGCATCACAATGCTGGTCGCTTTGTGGTCGTACATCAAGCGCCAAAAATCAGTGACAGTGTTGGGCATGGGCATCTGCGTACCGATGTACATGCTCTTTTTACGGTAGCCCTTTTGGAAAGAGAATTTGAAAATCTTTTTAAATAAGTAATATTGTGTACACATTTAAAAACAATGTGTTAAATCTTACCATTATGCGCAACTCAACAGGGATGTCATTTTGTTAAAACATAATATTGTCATTTCTGTACATGACTAATACTACATTAAAACTACCGACAATTGAATTTGTTGAAGTCTTTTTTTCTGAGCCTCACCGCGAAACATTGCAATGTGTTTTATTTCACCGGTTCTTGAAAAAAACCAACCCTAAAACAAAATACAAATTCCTATAATTGTAGTAGTCGAAAATTGGAAGTCGTGAATAATTTTGGTACTCAGTGCTAACTGAAATAATCAGATACTTACTGGCAAGAAGGTTGCGTTGATGTAGTTGGTTTCATCTTCTTGGACACTGGTAAACAGATATGGTCGAGAGCGGTCACCTGTAAAGCAATCAATCATGATGAAATAATTAGTTCAAAGAATACGGATGAAATCTTCCCGAAGTGACAAATAGGTCATTTTGATGGTGGCAATGATGCATTGGAAAATGTAATAATGCCAAAATAAGTGATTCATTTAAATGATGAGAAGCATCAGGTTTTGCGCCATTAAGGGTTGGTCATACGGGTTTGTTAACCAATGCCATTTCGACATCACTTGATCGCTAATGGTAGTCCTGTCGCGACATTCATGACACAGAAAGATATAAATGCATAGACGCTCAAATTATTGTTTGGACTCACTTGGTATAAAATCCGGATATCTGTTCTTGTCCTTGTTCTCAGGGAGCTGTCCTGACATATTTTCGACTTTACCTCGCCTGTCACTCAGCTGGATCAAAGTCTGAAAAAAACACCCAATTGAATTGAAAAAGAAAATGCTGGGTGAGAAAATGATTTCTTGGCAAATTGTGATTTTCACTTGATTGATTTGCATTATAAGGGGAGGCAAAGGGACCTACGTGCTTACTGATTGAAAAAAAAATCCCCAGAAATCAAGCAGAAGGAATCAAGGGATGCACGTATATAGTTAAAACAGTATAATAGCCTCTGAGATAAGTTGTACACAGGTGTGTTTGGAAGTGGGTACATTTGGTTAAGTACAGAAGAGTTTATGGACTCAAGAGAGCGCCTTCCCATTGTCTCAAACATAACATCCAAAATGGCTTCTAGCTTACCGCGAACTGCTTCTGAAGGCCTGTTTCCTTCGCTCCTTTGTCCTTCTTTTTCAGAGCCGTCAGTTTCTGGCGGAAGTCTGCAATACTGTAGGTCGTGTCTCCTGTCACAGAGGCAGCCAGAAGTGCGTCAAAGATGAACTTATATTGCTCCTGAATACAAAAGATGCATTTCACAATTTATGTATTTAGCAGAATAAATAGCACGATGTTTTAGATGACAAGATTAAACTGCAATAACAAGTTGGTTCATGAAACGAGCACTTCTATCTTCTGTCTAGGTTCTAACTTCGGTGCTGTAGACTACATGCCATCGATGCTGTATACCAAAACAAAAGTCACAACACTTTCTCCTCATTTTTACATGCACTTTGGTTACTGTTTGTTTGTTCAAAAGTATTATATTGGTAACTTGCCGGTGTCTGGACCATCTTGATGCGATTTTGTCTCATTTGGTAGATGAATCCCAGGACATCAACTTGTCCTTCCTGCGCCATTTGTTGCTGCATCGCATCTAGAGCGATGAATGTACCAGTGCGTCCAACTCCGGCACTAGATTAAAACATCAATTTAAAAATGTCAAAAAAATGTGTTTTTACGTATTTCATCAGATAAAACCACAATTGGATAGATAAGTTTGTCAAAACATCTGCTGAGATCCACGTTTATTTCTATTGACGAAAACAGTATTATAGGAAGGCTTATACCAATACCAATACACATTTAGATAAAACATGTAACCAAATATTGTTCTGCGTTTTAGCGTTGAGGTTTTTTACTGAAGTATGTTAACAATATACTAAATATCTCCTAAATTGCAAATTCGCTAATTCGGAATATGAATTATCTCCCTGCTACTATGAGTTAATTTTGCGATTTTTTTTTTTTGGGGGGATGTTTAATGTAATTTGATATGATTGGATACACTCGACTGTACCTGCAATGCACCAATGTGCGTCCCGGGTTATGGTGTCCGTTGACCAATCGCAGGAAGTTGAGCAATGGTGCTGGGTACTCAGGCGGCTTCATGTCGGGCCAGGTGGTGTAGTGAAATTGCTTCACCGATCTGTTACTTTCTTCACAGCCAACCTGTATGAATAGTCAGTTTGCATTTAACATTCATGCTTCTCAACAAACTCAGTGCTCAGATTTTCTCAAACATTAATCCAGCCTTTTTAAATTAAGTCTTGGTTTGTTATTGTTTATTTCAGTACTGTGTCACTGTACGGGTATAATGACACGATTGTTGCTTTTGTTTGTCAAAATAAACAACCCAATTAAAATTCCCCTCCCCAAAAAAACACTTAAGTATAATTTAGATCACGCTTTGTGCCACGCCGGCATCAAGTAAATATTATGATAAATCCAAAAATGAACCAAGCCTCCCTGACCCAAATAAGTCTGGAGGTTACCTGATAAATATTGAAGTTGCGAATGGTATAATCCAGGAAAACCTCCTCTTTGTCTGTAGTTACCACGATGCCTGAGATGGTGGTAGATCCGGTATCAGCCCAGTATTGGAGGCACTTCCTCTGAATACAGAAACAAATATATAAAATGGCTTGACCATGTTAGATAAAATGATACCTTTGTTTAGATGAATTTAGAAATCAAATCACTGGAGAAATACAAAGTGTTGCTTGTTGCTTTGTCGTAGTTCTTGTGTTATTTTGTTTCCAAGATTAATGCCTTTGGGTTGCTTTAATCTTTCTAGAGATTACCTTTTCCAATATCTTTCTATTGGTAATAAACTTAAGCATAATTTGAATTTTAAATAACGAAATCACCAAAATAAAATAAAAATAAAAATCAACACTACCTTGCCGTTCTCAAACGGATTGGTTAGCATGACAATCTTATCGATGCCCAACTGCCAGACCATTCGCCAGATGTCCTTGATAGACGCCTTGTTGGCTCCTGCAAAGTAAATAACAATGGGTTAGTTAATACATCGCAGTAGCACCGTGTATAGTCACATCTGGTTGTTCATTTATGGGGTTCGGAAAAGAAACAGTTTGGTAATAAAACAGTTGTTGCTTTTTCAACAGCTGTGACTATGTGCAAGCTTATTATCATTTCATTACGGAAATTACATAATTTGGTAGACAATTCGATGGTTGCATCACTCGATTTTATGCACGCCGAAATCAATCTACAAGACAAAATTACGTCACATTTGCGACTGCATTTACCTTGGCTGGCGACGTACTTGTTCTTCGTCTTGTATCCCTGCAAAGCAAAGGCAATTAAAAAAACGTATTGATTTATTTTAATTCGCACAAACTCACATCCCACAAGATAATTGATTTGATAACAATTTGTCAAAGAATCTTTGCAGCAAAATGTACTAATTCATATCTTGTGTTCAAACAGGTGATGGAAATAATTTCATTTGACATTTAATTTTCGTTTGAACAATACGTCTGACTAAGTCTGGATTTGAACCTGCGTCAGCTGGAATACCACATCGGTGTTTAACTTAGCTCAAAAGAGTTCATCATCAGATAACGGCTTACATTGATATAGCAGGCATTGATGTAATCTGAATGGGGATCTCCCTCCAAGGGGTCAAGTACAACACGGGAATGGTCATCTGCGAACGAAAAAGAATAAATCAATATTGATGTTGAACTGAAAACTTGACTCCACTTCCTACGATGCTTCTGAGAAACTATGATATATTTGTTTTTATATCGTATCTGATGGAGATGATCCTTATCTTACAAGCTTACATTAATTGCCACTTTAAATGTACGTATTTTTGCAAACTTTACAAACCTCCAAATTGACTGCATGGTTAAACTGTAAACTTTTATTGCAATGAACATTGTTGCAACAATTTGAACAATGCTGCATTGATATCAACAGTGTTATCAAATGTATACCAAAATAAACGGAAATACACACATGCAATGACATTGACGTATCGGTTCTTGGCCCTGTTCTCTGGTTTCGCTGCCACTCTCCATGGATATAGTTGACCATCGGAAAGCGACTGAAGTACACAAAAACAAATTATGTTTCATTATTTTATTAATGTTATAGTTGGTTTTCCATGATTAGTCCAGTGTGCGAATTGTGTGAATTTACCACAACAAAATAAATACTTTAGAAAAGAAATGTATCAGTAATGAAATTGAAATAGCTTTACCCCAAAATGGATGAAAATAGAGACACGATACTTTACATTGTAAACACTGCGTCTTATACAGATGGCTTTCAGCTGACATAAAGTTCTAGACAAGTGACTCCTTTCTCTTGATCGGATCGAAAAAAGTGTTCAATCGGGATACTTCGTAAGAGGCAAGTTGTGCGTGGTTTTATAGGGCGTATTTACCTTGTAGTCTGCTAGGAATCCGTAATCACCCATAGCCTCCTTCTGGCGGATGTATTCAGCAAGCTCTTCCTTCCGGACGGTAGGTGGTGGTACGAATTCCAGCTGTTCCTTGCCCTCTTCTTCTTCTGGTGGTTCTGGCCCGGCCTGCAGCTTCTGGCGTGGTTTACGAGGGGACTTAGATTTATGGCTGTGGGGTGTATCGCTGACTGCTGCTCCATCGTTGACATTACTGTTAACTGAATATTTTTCATCAGTAAAACAAAGAGTGAATACCGTTGTGACTCTTGAGAGTCACCTTATGTCTTCAAAATAACCTTATGTCTTCAAAATTGATTGCAGATTGAGGATCATTTAAAAAAAGCTTTCAAACTTGATGCGATAACATAAGATATAAGACGCCACATTCAAATTCTTAGATACTTTAGTTATTTTTATGCGAAATATTTACATGAAGTCAAAATATGTATTTGTACTTGTTGGGTTGACTGATATCATTTTCAACGTAGCTCAACCTGGAGTATACTGGATTATGTTGCACCTATTATATATCCTGTTCAAAAACTTGATATAACATAAATGTTTTTCAAAAGGCACGTAGAGAAAAATACATGTTAAGACGAGCAGAAATGACTATTTTTGGTTTTGCAATTGTGCTGTCAGTGATGAAGAAAATAAATCTCCTCAAAAATTGAAGGTTTACCGCGAGTCAAAGTTGGAGCCTTTGCGTTCAGTGGAATGTCAGATTCATCACTGTGTTGTTTTTCCCGACTGGCTCTCCTTCTTCGAAAGAAACACCAATAAAGACAGGCAAATAAAACAAATTGATTGAATGGATTGATAGCCTAAACCACCTGTATCTTTATTGCATAAAATATATTATTATCTAAAGTATTCCAAAGAGGAAAAGGGATTCTTGGAGGAGGATCAAAGCTTGACAACTTTTCTTCTTGTTAAAGAAGAACTGTTGCAAAATTATACGTGACAAAAGATAACAAGCTTGTTGATTTGCTGTTATAGAGCATGATACACAGGTTAGGTGTCAGTTAGTAGCTAGTTTAGATCTGTTGACATATTTCTAATCAAGTTTCGTTTTTGATGGTTACCTCTTGTAGACTACAAAAGTAACGACAAATCCTAAAGCGAGGATGACAACGACGAGCACGACAGCTACTATCACGGCAAATTGCGAAGGCACTTCGAATTTCTTTGCTGCAAAACAAAGATCGACAAACACAAGGTTAGTCCTGAAGTATAGATACTAAATTTATGGACTCTTCCAGACTCTTCAAAGTGCTACTACACAACGCTATGGGAGAATCCATCGTTCTGGATTTGAGACATAACAGTGATATTGTAGTATTATGCATGAATGACAATGAAATTCAATGAGGAATATTTGTATCATTCTTCAACTGACACTCGGAGATTAATGACCGAAACGTCGACTTTACACAGCTCGTTCTATTCAGAATCCGCAAACTTCTCCTAACTAATATCTAATCGACAAAAAGGCTTTCGGTAAAGTTTCATTTTAGTCGTACACGAAAACCTTACAACTTAAAATGAAATACATTTTATTTACCTGTAAAATAAACTGTCAAGGGATCCGAGTAAGACACGTGGCCTTGCTGTGAGTTAAATATAAAAATAAAGTATAAAAATAGCCGAATCATTAATTACAAAATATTACTGATCAAGCTTCAGATAATGTAATTAAAATACCTGCGTAACCTACCGTTTCGTTGCCTCTGCTGACCGAGCCCGTACGAATTTCGTACTTGTTGCCTGTTTTGAGCGGTGCGTTATAGTAACCACCGTACATTTTTGTATCACCGACAACAAACTTGCCCGTTGTATTCTGAGCAGGTAACTCAGCTGCGATGTAGTCGTTCGGTGAATCTTCGAAACGATTCGGGACCAGAACATCTCTCTTTTTCTTTGATCCAACGTTCTTGACTCGGACAACATATGAGCTGAAGAAAAAACAGTGTATTGAAATATCAATCATTAATCCCCAAGATAGTTAAAACATATCAATTTTTAACCGGTGGATATCTCTCTTTTCATATACTTTCGTGTAACTCAAAAACAAAATCTCATTTCTCAGTGGCAGACATCCAAACAATAGACATTTTAATACCTTTTTGACTTTATTTTTTGTTGAGCAGTAGTTACGTTAATTTAATATCAATATCAAGCTTATACTCTGAACTTGGGTTGATGCTTTCAGGGGTGATTCATCGACAGAAACTACGAAACTCAATCATTGAAATTTCAAGTTTTTCAAAAGTTCACTCATAAACTTTTTCTTCAACCACAACAGGAAACAACTTTGTTTCAATTTCAGTTTACTCGCTTTTGGTACCACTTTGTCCATGGTATAAACTTACTCGACAAACTGGCCCCCGGTGGTGGGTTTCATCAGCCCGATCGCCCAGGTAGTGTCAGTGGCTTCTTTGGGGAAGGAAGCTGGTTGAGGAGGTGCAGGAGGATCTAACAAAGTATTCAAAAGGTGTTTAAAATTTGATTAATTTATAAAACCGAGGCAACATACGCGTTTCAGTTTATCTGCACGTAAAAATAACCAATCAAGAAAATACAGGTGGTGTTTGTTTCGGGATAGACCAAAATTGGTTATCAAGTACAGTAGTCTGGTTTCACATGTAGTTTAGATTTTTGCAAATCACATTCCATGAAAGCCCATTAATTACAAGACAAAATTTACAAGCTTTACAAACTCTGACCCACACCTCCTGCTTGTAAGTGCAGTGACCACTCGACCATCGAGTGTTCCAGGCTGCTAGGTTCATAAACCGATAACAACGTCAGTGACATTCCATATTCGTTCTAACCATGTACTAAAGCGAGCTATGTATATACTTACTATACACTTTGAAAAATCCCTTGCCAATTTGACCCGTAACCTGGGTTTTCTTTGGACTGAAACATTGTTTTTCTCATTTTCTGGGGCAAAATTTCACTTTTGTCAGGTTCCAGGGCCAAATTGACCTCGGAATTAATCCACAAAAGTTTCATCTTGACCGGAAAAGAGTCACTGCTGACCTTAAAAAGTGTTAGGCCAAAACGACCCGGATTCCGGTGTAACGTGACTTTAGGACTCTAGGGAATGCGGACTCATTGGTAGTGTCTAAGCGAAGATAATTAAGAGAGTGACCGGTCACGTGAGAGAACTTAACCAATAATAGAGTGCAGGAGTCCAGATTTCATAGGAGACAGATTTCATATGACACCGTGTCAATCTGACTAGGGGCTTTATAGAATATATGAATCAACGCGTAGAGCTCACTTGATTGTGGCTTTGTATACACCACCAACATTTGGGGGCTTCCTTCGAACTTCTCATTTTGAGCCGTAACTTTGAACTCGTACGCAGTGGCTGGATCGAGCCCATTCTTTGTGAATGGTGAATTTTCAACCTCATCTCCCTTGTACTCTTCCGATTGAGAGAAGATCCTGCACTTTACCTTGAAATCAAGATAATATTTGGAGTTGTAAATACAACATGATTGTAATGCAAGCAAACATGAGGTGAAGTAAATGCACTTTAAATCGTATCCCCAGATTAACGACAGGAGAACGTTGCGTTGAGCCTGTATACTTTAACAACCTGTTCGTAGTTTGGGTCAACGTGTACCTTGAAACCCCTTTTATCTTTTCAACAAAGGTGACAATAAATGTCTTGCACATTACACTAAAGCAACACTAGGCAAGCCAAGTTAAGATCGTAACAGAGCACACAAACCTCAGTCTATTCAATTGATTCATATATCACTGTCAGTGAGTCAGTCAATCAGAGAGTGAGTGGCGGAGTCTGTCAGTCAGTTCGTTTGTCAGTGAGATAGGTACAGAGCGGACTATAGGCTGGCCCTCTAGGACCATTGAATATCACAAAAACTAGGCTATAATAATTGAAATACGTACTATGTAATGGGAGATTCTGCCTCTTGGTCTTAGAGGTCGGTCCCAATCCAGAGTTATTGACGACTCGTTCGCATTCGTCAAACGAAGATTGTGTACGGGTCCAGGCACTGTCAGGAGAAATGAATTATAAAGCAGAAAACCGTTGCAAATTATTTATGTGTTGTTGTTTCAGAGTCGGCGTGGATTTACCATTGTGATGAGAACTGGTACGATAAAAATGCCTGAATTAAAAAAAACGTTTGCAAAGATTCTATATCCACATTTTGGAAATTGTATGACGGTACAAAAACGATGATAAACGGTTTTTTTTTGTTAAAAAGAATTGCAGCGGGTTAATTGCCAAATGTGTCTCTTTCTCCCTTGAAGGGACCTTTGAGAAGGCCAATAGAAATAGACATTTACTGAAATAATTGGTTTTTTTTTTAAAGAATTATCAGGCAAATTCAGTTCAAAAGAATACGTGCAAACCCGAAATCACAATCGTAAATTTTTCATTTCACCGTTCATTTATCCAGGCACTTTATCGTTCAGTCTGTCTCAGACTGCACTTTAAAACCATTGAAGGTGCACGAACGCCATATCACTTTGCAATTTGTGAGCAAAACTCAAGGAAAAAAAATATCTTAATTACTAGAGAAATATTAATTGACCAAAAGCACTAAAAAGCAAAGATTGGGACAAGAAGCATTACCATACCTTCGATTAGGGTGGTCGCAAATACTTTTTCACTCCACAGACCTGCGCCAACAGACGTTTCAGCTTGCACCTTATAACATTTGAATAAAAGAGTATCATAATAAAAAAAATCGCGAAGAATGTGATTATTTCCTGTTCTTGCATGCAGTAAAATCAGTCGGTTTTTTTTTTATAGTAGCCTGCAAGCAAGTTATGAATTATTTACTCATCATGTTAAACAGCACCCGTAAAAGAAAATACAATTTATGCCACAAAAAGTTGCCAGGACATACGGGCTTTTGAAATCAAACGTCTCTCCAGATTTTGATATTTCTGTTTAGAAATGACAAAGTATTTACCTGCAAGAAGTGTGTCTCATTCGTTTTAAGGCCCATTATCTCATACATTAATTGCACCACATTGTTGATCAGCGTTTTGGTTCCTGGCTGTTCACTCCTCCAGTACCTAATGTTGTAATTGGTGATGATTCCTTGTGGAGGGTCGGGCTCTGACCACTGGAGAGTGATGGATACGTCATCAACGTTCTGAATGACGACATCTAAGGGTACTGTGGGCTCTGTTTAATATTGACCAAAAATAAAGCAATTAGGGTGAAGTTTAAGAAGGCATTATGCAAGCGTTAGTAATGATGGCTAAAAGCAGCCAATAACAAGGAACTTTGATTAAGGTTTTGTTCATGATATTTTTAAACAGCACACACCTGCTTCATCAGTTCTCTGAACGACGACGCCACTATACGGCCCGACCCCAACACTGTTGTTTGCGGCAACTTGAAAACTGTAGCCAGTGAAGGGGATTAAACCATCTATCTCAACTTCCTCGTCTGACGATGCATTTAAGATGAGTTGTGATCCTGGTCCACTCAGCGTGTACGTGTAGCCTGTGATGATGCCACCTCGGCTTCCACACGCTGGCTGACTCCAGGAGAAAGTCAGGCTGCGTTTCTCCGTTGAAGTGACGGTCACTTGCTGTGGTGGTGCAGACGGTTCTAAAGAAAAAAATAATCAGATTGAATTAAGTTGGTCCACATCTGCTTGTTTATCGTGCCAACCTTAGCCAGGGCCCAGGGACTCAGTACATAATGCATTGCCAGTTTGTCTCATAGAAAATAGTCTTACCTTTGGTACCGGTGGTAACGCTCAGTTGTGCAAGTAGACCGCCGCTTCCATCCACAAAGGCGCGGACTCGTATCTGATACATTGAATTGACCAAGAGATTTGGTATTACCGTCGAATTACTTCCAGAACACATGCAGTGCTGGGTGAAGTTTAGCGGGCTGACGGGTAGGCAACCATCTTTGTTTTCCAGTGCATATTGGACGGAGTAGTTGGCACAATACACCTCACGCCAGCTAAGTGTGACACTGGCAGAATCGTAAGAAGTAACCATCACAGGGGCAACTGATGGATCTGAAAGGAAACCCCCCAGATACAACCCATGGAGCCTTTAATCGCAGGTTGTCTTAATAATTATATTTAAGTGCACACGGCTGATTACTATCACAATTGTTAAATTTAGTTATTGATGTAAGAAAAGTAGTTTTACTCACTATCTTGTTTTAATGTTGTTCCACATGTCGACAAATCAGGTCCTTCCGCACTACTGTACTGTGGGCGAATGTAAACCATATAGGTTGAACGAGATATCAAACCAGTGATGACATGACTGGTAGTTTGACCATCGAGTGGACCTGGAAGTGATACCCGCTGTGGAGATACAATCTCTTCACATTGGCCCCTGTTCGTCAATGCATACTCCAGTATGTAGCCAGAGACACAGGAATCCGGTTGCCAGGAAACTTGTAGTTGATGAGGATCGTCTGAAATCACTTTTAGTCCCAGGACGCCATTGTCAGCTACAATTAGACAAAGGGTGTAACAATTACAGGCATCAGTTAATGATCCACCAAAGGTAATGTTGAAGCTGAGGTAGTGTTACTGATAGCATAATATCACACATGTTTAGCCATTGTAAATGTGGCCTCTTCATTCATATGTCATGCTTCTTTGTTTGCCGTTATATCCATCACCTTCATCTTAAAGGTGTCATCTCACATAATAATCTGCACATTACGTCTTCTAATTGTTTCTATTGCAACTATGAGATGCTTATCTTGTCTTACTGGTAACTCTCCCGTCAACGTATCTGCAAAATAATATCTGTTTAGATTAAAGATAAGTGGGTATAGTGAAAGAGATTCAACAAACTTACTAGAACACTGGCAGTTACTTTCGAAATATGGTGGTATGCAATCTGGAATGAAATATGAAGACTGTAAACGTTAGTATATGTTAGTATATCGGATGTAACTCACTAATACACATTGTAAATAAGTAAATATCCTATTGCATTTCATATCACACTATAGTTGTAATTAAGTTCTGTTTGTCCAGTTTTTCGACTTAACAAAGGCATTTCTATAAACCTCACCATATAGCTGAGGTCAAAAAAGCAGCTGGGTACACATCCAATTCGAAGTGTCCTGTTAGTTGTTACTGCCTCATGAGCTCCCTGCACAAGTACCCCCTCAACGGTACTAAAGGGAGAGTTTGGGGAAACTCAACTTAAAGTTACAAGTTAGGTTCACGTTTGAAAGATTGAATATTGCAAACTAACCTTTGCTTCGCATTGTCACAAAAAAACCCGCTTCAACAAGCTTAGTTGTGATACAAAGCAACATTATTATCTTACTTCCAGTACATTCTCCCGTATCCTTCTCGCAAGAGTCGTCAGATGGACAGTGACATGTCTGCTTACAGTCGGCTCCATACTTCCCTTCATAACATTCTAATGTGAAAAAAAGTCAATGGAATAAAAGTGGACAACTTGGGACATAAAATAGTGTTTACCCTATATACGGGGACGAATCAGCGAGACAGTAAAACTAATCAGCAGCGTCTGTTTTGCAGAACATCTTTGCTATTAAAAATCTGCTTTCACAAAACAACCAGTTTCATGTCATCTGTTCACAATTCGGAGGCCCTTGGTCCAAATAGGAAAACTAGTGAAAAGCAGTATGGAAAAAAACACTTTACAAGATTTTGATAATTCCATAGTACCTTGCGTGCAGTCTAGTCCCATATACCCAGCAGCACAGGAGCATCCGTAAGGATCAGGTAGACAAAACAAACGACCTCGGCAAGCGTCCTGGCCAAAGACGTGAACTGAATGTAAGATAATAACATACTCATATCATATCAATTGAACTATATCTAAACCAACCAAAAAAGTTGTTCTACAGGAAGGATTTAATGTTCGCCATACAAAATATAATGATATGACGAATGTTACCTTGCTGGCAATTTTCTCCACTGAATCCTGGAGCACAGATACACGTTCCCGTCTTGTCATCACAGAAACCTCCATTGTAGCATCGACGACAGGTGTTCTGACATGAAGGCGGGCCCCACGTACCGGCTGCGCATTCTGAAATGTTAAAATACCATCGACAAACATGTCATGTTGATGAGCAAAATGTTAATTAAAAATATAAAATCATCCTACAGTTGCTTGAGACAAACGCAATGACGAAATCGTTTTGGATCCTCCAACCTTAAAATAAATCTGCTTTTAACGACGAGTTACATTCTCATCAAAAGAAATAATTACTATTAAAGAATGGAATTGTCAACGAGCAATTCATGATTTGGAAAATGTGGCCGACTTTAGGAATGTTTTAAGATACACTCCTGTTTTAAATACGATAGTGTGATAGTTGATTGCTCATCCAAAGATGTTCAACTAAAAGGGTAGACCTGCAATTCTCTTCACATAGACAGAAGTTGGGACCAAAGGATATTAGAAAAAAGTGAGAATTCACCCCTCACGATGAGCCTCATGAAGCCATGGAGTTGCTGGTCTTCTTCACCATCAATGAAGCAGCTGTATATCCCCTCATTGGTCTTGCTGAGATTCGCAATAGTAACGTCCAGCATGTCATTCCATTCCTGCACGCTATCTGCATCGTGCTTCCATCTGTAGTTGGTGTTCGGTGGATTCACACTCTCCATCTGCAGAGTAACTGGCTCTCCAATATTTGCTGTCTGTGTTCGCTGAATCGGGCGTGTGTGAGTGGTGCCTGATGTGGAACAAACAAACAAAATGATAGCAAGGTAATGACCTCTGATATTAAAATACTTGAAATCTAAGACCGATTTTGAAACATTTATTGTGCGTGCTAGTTGCGCTCAATTTTTTTTTTTTTGATAGCTTAAGGGTTTTTTAAAATAAAGCTATCAACTGAAACTTATTATTTATTTTGTTATGCCTTTCGAACCCTTAGACTGTATTGAGGAGATTATTTATACCATAAAAAACAACAACAATTCTGACTGATTTTTGACGTGACCGATCAATTTTGCAAGAGGTTCCGACAAATATTTCCGATATTCCGATATTCCTATGTCCATTCCTCTAGCAAACAAAATCCCCGTTTTATAAAATCATCAAATAAATATCTCAGGGAAAATGCCATTTTAAATCGAACGGAGGAATGGACCAGAACATGCAACGTAAGGCAGTCAGGGGTTCAAATCCCGCTCCAGTCAATTTTCTTTCGGTACTTTGATTAAAAAGAAGGATGTGTATACCGTCTTTGCGTAAGATCACTGTCCTTATTCTGGTAGCCATGCCGTTTCTAGTTGCAGTGCCGTAGAAGACACCTGTTCTGTCAATCCCACCATCTTGTGGTAAGCTAAGCAACCTGGCTGTACATCCCAAGTTGGCATCGTAAAACCCGGACGATCCTGTAGGAAGATTGTCATTGCTCCCTCCTGTCGTCAATTGGCGACCAAATGAGACAGCAGCGGCGATGTCTGTTGGACTTTTGTAGGCTGCTAAGGTTGCATCGTCGTCGCCTGTGGCTCCAAGCCGAGCAGGAGTGGCAACCAGAGTAAAATCCACGCCGCCTACTGGATAGAAAAACGAAAAAAAAAAACCCTCAAATTATGGTGGTTTGAGGAGATATGCTTTTTTGTTTTCGTTTTTTGTTATTAATTTTGCTTTTGCGATGTTGTGACTGGGATTTGATGCCGCACCTGGCAATGACTATAAAAATCTACGTATGGTATATAGCTCTATAATCGAGAACTGACTCTAATACTAGGGGTGGGTATTATTTCACTTTTTTCACTTTTTTAATGTTCTGCCCCCTTCAACATATGTAGTAGCCTACTAGAAACAACAATCAAAATTTAAAACAAATATTGGAAAAGATTAACCCCCCGTCCATGCCGCCAAAAAGTTTTGGGCAAAGGGCGCCCTCTATGGCTAGTTGAACTGACATGTTCCCTGACTTACAATGTACTTAAGAAAAGCGAATTGTAAGGTACCAGACTATATATACTAAAAAGCATTTGTGCCACACAGGAGATCAGACACAGGAGATAGTTGGCGGGTTTAAGTCATTAAAAGCAATATATTTTGCAGTTCAATGATTACTTACACAAGTTAAGTTACTTTTACTGGCCATTTCTTGCAACATGATAGTGAAAACGTTGATTTTTGGTCCATATAGTTAGGTGATTGTTTTTCCACTCACTTTCCCTGAGCATATGACTGCCTTCCTAATTTGAAACTTGTTGTGTACTCAGACCTTTTCGTTGTTAGTCTGGAGCTATTTTCAATAATAACGAAACGTGAACACCTCCTTTTTATTGTGATATCACCACTCGGTTCAGGGTGATTAAGTTCCAACGTCATGATTGTTAATTAAGTTTACAATTTGTGACCTCCAATTTGCCAACGATGAAATCGATGTGCATGGCCTTGCAGTAAACTTCATGGATAATTTGTTCTGTAATTAATATGAGGTGGGTTAAAAAATTGGTATTAATTAAATTTAAGGCTTCATCAGCCCAAGTCAACATGGTCAAAGCTACATTCACTAACTGTTGATCTTATTGAGCGAAGATAGCCAGGTTCCTTCCGAGAATACTCATGTATAACAATTTTACAATACCAGAAGTAATGTGCAGTGGAATTCTGCACAGGATGAATTCAAGGATAAACTATAAGGGATGGGAGGACCATTCATATCATCAGACCAGGTTGATAAGTTTATGAGTGTATGGAAGACTAGGCCGTAGACTAGGCAAATCTGACGCTATATTTGGGTGACAAAAGCAGCTGCCAGGATGGATGATTTTCAACAGAGCCGGCCATGGACATCTCTTAAATGAGTAGGACTTCCAATGCATTCAGCATGAATCATGCCCGCAATGACTTTTGAGTAAATAGAAATATACTGTTCTCTGCCTTTCCCTTTCAATTAGCATATACATGTAAATGCATCTGACATATTGAACTTCAATGTTTAACACTTGGACTAATACTAGCAAAGTTATGTGTAAGCTTGGAAAACGGGAACAATTCAACAAATCGCAAAACAGTTAAAAGTGCAATCCTCCTCTTTTGGCAATTTCAACGGTCCATTTAACTTCCGGAACATGTTTTTCAACTTTTGTGTTTTTAATTATTGTTTTAATATGTGCTGAAAACATTGTTTTCCCCAGGCAAAACAAAAATAAGTAGACCTGTTGGTACATATAACTGCATTCCGCATACAAAGCTGCATGGACATGTGTTTTAAACCAAAGATTTTTTTCTTTGTAAAAGTAAGAATTTGTATTGGCAATGGTTAAATTTGTAATGACAAAAAATGAAATACACTTTAGATGTGAAAAAAAAGGATTTACTAAACAAAAAAAAAGGGGAGTTTCTTTATTTCCTTTATTTTACTAACTCATTTTCAAGGCTAGACCGGTGTGGGAGAAAATAGTCTAAAATGTTTAATTTCTAATCAAATATGGAGTTACAAATTTATAGTTGATCTCTTTACTGGTAAATTAACATTATGCGAAATGCTGAAAATGCTGAAAACGATAATAAACCACGGTGTAATTGACCTCGTGACTAAGACGAATCATCAAAAACAACAGAATAATGTTGTCTTTGCTTACAAAAATATTATTCGAATCATTCTTACCTACAACACTAGAAGTCTCTTCAGTGTCTTGGATTTCCTCCACCATGACTTCAGCTATGTGAAGTAGATCTGGTCTAGGTCGATCCACACTGACGTATCGAGCGGGGACGACGTGGTCCACTATGAAGTCAATGTCTATGCCTATGGCTTGCGTTGCGGTGATTGGAGAACCTATCATTATGTTCTGGTAAATGTCTGAATTCAAACCAGCCCTCACCACGGAATCTCGCAGTCGCGCAGCTGCAAATTAATTTAAAACCATCAAATATTTCAAGTATTTCCTCTTCATGAGTCTCCATATATGCCTATCGGTGGTTGCAGTTCCAAGTCCTGATCTCGTGGGCCAGCAAACACAATTGATCTGCAATTAGCTTTCAGAATTATAAATTAATACTAACAAAATAGTTTCATTTCACTTTTTGAAATTCACAAATGAAAATTTCTTCTATTAAAGTAGGAATGCCAACAATGTGCCAATCCGGCTAAAGAATTGACGAACTTGTCTCACCTTTTTTTATACACAAATTCTACATGGAACATTATATTACGATCACCCCATGTTTGAAATGAAAGAGTAAATCCCAGATTGATAACTTCGATTGAAACTGTTTGAAAATAGCTTGAAACTGTAGAATACTTACGACATCTTCTGCATTGTTTCGCGTTGCTGACTGTAATTTTCTTCAAGCAGTAGATAGCCTCAAGGTCGACTTTCCACCATTCATTCGGGCCGTAATCTATAACATAAAGAGTCGTTTTATCCAGATGTAAATTTCCGTTTCCTCAATTGTAATATACTAGCTCTGAATCAGGCATTTGCTAACAATGAATACACATTCATAATGCCTTTTATGCCACATAACATCACTTTAAACATGCATCAGACCGATACCCGCAGCTCTGGGACGCGAATGTCGCACAGAAAAACGAATCTTTCTTGGCAAAAAATAGTAAGAGGGAAAATTTGCACCCGGTCTAACGTCTAATACATCAAATCATGCAGATTTTGCGATCGCTCGCCTCAGCCAATCGGAGTCGACTAAATCGTTACGTCGTTTCATTCCCAAATTGGGACTAAACGTTTGATTGGTCAATTCGAATGCCGAGTTTTGCAATACAACAACAGCCGGGCACGTATCGCGTAACGTAATACAGAGCGCGTGACCACAGCCTTTGTTGCTGTGTCTGTTTTTTTTTTTATCCATTTCTATGACGCGATAACGGTGAATGACAGACCCAATATAGAAAGCGCCCGCTGATTGGTCAAAATGTAGAGGTCAAGATGCGGTCGTTGCAAGTTGCATAATTAATCAGCGAATCTGCTCAAATTTTACAGACCATGACTTCGCCATAGTCTATTACATAGACTAGAGTCCGGGGGGGGGGGGCTGAACCTCAAACTCGAACTGCCAAAATATTAAAAAATATCCTACGTGATTGTAGGTAAATAATAGGTTCAAGCACCCTGTGAAATCGTTGCGCCTAGTATGCTGACATTTTTCGAGAAAAGAGGAAATACCATCATTTTCACGCGATGATCAAGACCAAACCACAGCGAAAAATACTGCCCCACCTTGAACGAATTTTGTTTAGTTTGCAATCGGTTACATATCCATGAATTTCCCCGCGTGGGAGACTGGAGATCATATCACAAGAGGTTGGAAGAAGCATTGAAGTGAAGATGTCTACCGACTTCGAGCTGAATTACCTTATTAATCACCTTCATAGATTTATTGTATTGTTGTTCCTTGAATCAGCAAAATATATAAATTTTGTTTCAACAAATAGTTTTTTTTTTTTAAATTATATTAATTTTACCAGTGTGGCTAAAGGTGCTTCGATCGCCATCTACCGCATTAGACGCAGGCACATTTTTATAAGTTGTACTCTGACTGGCCAGTTTGTTCCGCAGATCGAGGGCCAGACCTGTGTTGAAAAATATTATTAAATAGTGTTCATACTTCCACTTTATATCAGAATGCATTTCGTAAAACCTCATTTCATCATTGAAACAGTATCAAAGTGGCAGTATACACCAACGATATATCACATAATGAACTTATTACAAAGTTATGTTCTCATAGAATATTGAAAATTTGAATGATTACAGGCGCATGTCAATCAAGTGTGTGTTTCAGAAACTTTTTCCAGCAGAATTGAAATATCATTTTGTAGGGAGACTCGCCATAGTACCCTCTTTTCCTGGGCGGAGTGACCTGATGCCCCTGGGGCATCAACAAACCCAATTTTTTGAATGAAAAAAAAAATTTGGGCCAATAACATTCACCTCCTATCTAATCCTCATTCAACCCTTGCCAAATCAGCTGAATCGATGAACTTTGCAGCCAGGGCTACACCCAGGCCGTGTCAACAAACTTTCGATCAGGCCTCCTGCCAAGTCTCATTGAAACATTAACAAAGACCTGTAACTTGACACAGTCATCTCCCTTTATAACTGCATACCACAGCCGCCAGTCAATTATCTTTCCAGCGCACTGTCTGGCAACTGTCTGGACACTGTCTGGCACGTGGCTTTTTGTTGTATTGCTATGAATAGGGTCTTGCGTAGTGCGGAAAAGTACCTGCTGCCCAAAGGGGCAGCAGTTGACGAGTTGTTGTAAAGTTTTGTTGTAAACGCTGCGCAGGGTTAAGAACGCCACAAGGTTATTTCTTAAGTTTCACACATTTTGGATTATTCATTTTGAATTATTCATTTTCTACACTGCAAAATCTATGTTTAGCAAACACTTTTCTAAACACTTTCTTGCTATCAGTTTGTACATGTTTAAATACTAAACACGTTGGAGAATTGATGGATAGCGTTTAGCAATTGAACATTGATGTTTAGGAATTGAACACGTTTAATATTGTCTGTTGATGTGTTTAACTGTTAAAACACTGACTATATACAACAGTACTTGTATTTCCGACACCAACAGTGCCCATGACTTAGTACATGCATCGGCAGATATAATCACAAAGATGACAAACACTGCCTCCAAACTTCAGTATTCTCGAGACAATTTATTGACTATCCTGAAAACAGCTAAAAATGCCAACCTAAGATTGAATCAGGAGGTTCGTCAAACAATACATGAATCTGGAATCAACAAACAACATTGTCATAGAGGGCGTAGAGCTGGAACTCATATTCGACGGCAAATACCTGTTTTGCAGTGCCGCCGTATTCAACTTGTGTCCAGCAACAAACCGACTGGCATATCACGTGACCTTATCAAGATCAATGTTGTCCCTCAACTTCAACTTCATCAACAACAACATCGTCATCATCTACCATCAATATTGCTGTGCAATGCACGATCGCTGAACAATAAATTTGATGAGTTGCATGCTGTCGTTTTTGAAGACATGTTCGACATCGTTGCAATAACAGAAACATGGTTTAAACCGGATTTGCTTCCAGAGCTGGTGTCACTACCCGGTTACACGATGTTCTCTAAATGTCGCCCCTCTCGACGGGGAGGAGGAGTAGCAATCTATGCAAAACATGATCAAAGCCCACTACAGCTTCATGTTGACATTCCAGAGGATCTTGAGATAGTGTGGATTAAAGTTCATCCAAAACGCCTTACGAGATCAGTGTCTCATATCATAGTCGCTGTTGTTTACTACCCTCCGCAGAGTCCGGTTTCAGATCGTCTCCTTGACCACATTAATGAGACAACAGACAGCCTCTTGAGCAGTCACCCAGACGCTGGTATTGCTATTGTCGGGGATTTCAACCAGCTTAATCTGAGTCAGCTCCTCACCGACACACGGTTTAAACAGGTCGTCAATCAACCAACAAGAGACAACAGGATTCTCGACAAAATTATCTCCAATCTGTTCGACGTCTATGCTGAACCTGTAATTAAATCACCTATAGCCAGCAGTGATCATGGTACAATAGTCTGGGCTCCGCTCCAAAATTACCAGCATTCTAAAAACACCACCAAATCACGCACAACTAGACCATTGCGTGATTCTAATATTCGTCGATTTGGAACTTGGATATGTCATTATGACTGGGCTCCTGTCATGCAGGCTGAGGATCCCAACGAACAGTGTGATGCTTTCTACAAAGCATTAAACTCAGCAACAGATTATCATTTCCCACTGCGCACCACTAAATTTCATGCTCGTGACAAACCGTGGATGACTCCTGTCGTCAAGAAACTCATTCAACAAAGACAAGTTGCATTCCACTCGAAGAATCACCGCACCTGGAAACAGCTACGAAACAAGGTCAAGATGGCCATACGTATTGCCAAACATAACTATTACAACGTAAGAGTTAGAAGCTTGAAAGCATCTAACCCTGCTGCATGGTATCGGCAGATCAAACTTCTAACCAATGGTCATCACGAGGAAAAACCAGGTCCCAGGAATTGACCAAAACAACACAGTTGGAATTGCAAACAGCATCAACAATCACTTTGCTTCTGTGGCTGAAGACCTCCCACCTATCGACACAGCACAGTTACCAGCCTATCGTCCATCCCAGTATCCTCCACCAAGGGTTTGACATTGGGATGTGTACCGCGAACTGAAACACATAAAGTGTGGGAAATCTGGAGGACCAGATAATATTCCTGTACGCATAATTCGAGAATTTGTATATGAGTTGACCACGCCTTTAACTCATATTTTCAACACGTCGTTTGAACTGGGTAGTGTACCTGAGGTTTGGAAGCGAGCAATCATTGTCCCAATCCCCAAAAGCTCTCCTGCAGTAGTTGACAAGTTGAGACCAATAGCTCTCACTGATCACTTTGCCAAAATTCTCGAGGGCTTTGTTGCTAAGTGGACTGTCGAGGAGTTGAAACCTTACATGGATCATCAACAGTTTGGAAATAGAAAAAGACTCTCAACAACACACTGTTTGATTGATCTATTGCATACTCTGTACTAACATGCTGAAACCAGAAAAGCAACATCCACACTTGTTTTAACTGACTACAGCAAGGCATTTGACCGAATTGACCACAACATTGCAATACAGAAGTTGATCAGCCTGAATGTGGACCCATCATTGGTTCAATGGATTGCAAACTTTCTCACAAACCGCAAACAATGTGTGCGCTATAGGGGTATCACATCTGATTGGAGATCCATGCATGCAGGAGTTCCTCAGGGGATACGGCTAGGCCCTATTGTGTTTTCTGCTGTCATCAACGATGCCTGTCAAAATTCCAGTGACCAAATACACCACTGGAAATACGTTGACGATTTGAGCTTGGTTGAAACTCGCCTCGCCCATGAACAACCTAGTCTTCAGGAGACCGTTAATACCCTAGTTCAGTGGTCACAAAACAGCAATATGTCTCTCAACCCTACAAAATGCACCACTATGGAAATCAATTTCATGAAGGAGCCCCCAGCATCGCCTGTTATTTACATCAATGATGACGTCCTTGAACAATCACAAACTGTCAAACTGCTAGGGTTACACATCCAGCAAGACCTTAAATGGGACACTCATATGAATCAAATACTTCAACGCGCCAATGGCCGTTTTCACATGTTGCGTGCCTTAAAAGGTCATGGTCTGCCAATTGAGGATTTAATGACTGTCTATAAAGGGTACCTCCGCCCCCTACTTGAATATGCAGCTCCTGTCTGGAATGGTGTAATTTCAAATCACCAACAAAACCAACTGGAAAAAATACAAAAGCGTGTCCTCAAATTAACTCTAGGTGCAGAATACAATGATTACATTAGTGCACATGATTCAGTTAAATTAGAAACATTGACTGACCGTCGTAGATCACTATGCCTTGGATTTGCTAGAAACTTGATGTGTAATGAGAACATGGCGCATCTTATCCAACAACCTCAAACGAGTAAAGTGTTACGCCGGTCTAAACTAGTGTCTGAACCAAGATGCAAAATAAATAGATTCAGAAATAGTGCAATCCCGTACTTAATCCGATTAATTAAATCCATGACTTAATTTGTGGTAAAAGGTAATTTTTGACAGCAGCTGACCTACATTGTATGTTTTGAGATTTTTATTTATTTGTGCATTGTACACTGTGTCTAAGATTTTTAAATGTTCAATAATAATTTGGATTTTTAAACTTCCTCATCCTAATATCCCAAATTATATTCCAAACTTTATTGTGGATTCCCATTCCCTTCCCGAATAATGTAGCCTTTCCATACCCACCATATGTCCTTTCCCCCTACCACTCACCCAATTTCTTACTGCATCTTAATGTGTTAATCATGAAATTGTTGATTTGCTATTTTATCAATTTTGGGGTTATCAATTTTGGGGGTTATTACTGCATCTTAATGGTTAAACATGTAATTGTTGATTTGCGATTTTATCAATTTTGGGGTCCTTAAATTTTGCTTTATCATTTCTTAATAGTATAATTGTAATGATTACTTTTTAGTATTTTTAAATTAATGCATTCTTAATATATATTGTTACAGCTTCACACAATTCCGCTACAGCTGGCGAGAAAGCTGATTTAATAAACCATTTATCTATCAATCAATCAATCAATCAATCAATCAATCAATCAATCAATCAATCAATCAATCAATCAATCAATCAATCAATCAATCAATCAATCAATCAATCAATCAATCAATCAATCAATCAATCAATCAATCAATCAATCAATCAATCAATCAATCAATCAATCAATCAATCAATCAATCAATCAATCAATCAATCAATCAATCAATCAATCAATCAATCAATCAATCAATCAATCAATCAATCAATCAATCAATCAATCAATCAATCAATCAATCAATCAATCAATCAATCAATCAATCAATCAATCAATCAATCAATCAATCAATCAATCAATCAATCAATCAATCAATCAATCAATCAATCAATCAATCAATCAATCAATCAATCAATCAATCAATCAATCAATCAATCAATCAATCAATCAATCAATCAATCAATCAATCAATCAATCAATCAATCAATCAATCAATCAATCAATCAATCAATCAATCAATCAATCAATCAATCAATCAATCAATCAATCAATCAATCAATCAATCAATCAATCAATCAATCAATCAATCAATCATCAATCAATCAATCAATCAATCAATCAATCAATCAATCAATCAATCAATCAATCAATCAATCAATCAATCAATCAATCAATCAATCAATCAATCAATCAATCAATCAATCAATCAATCAATCAATCAATCAATCAATCAATCAATCAATCAATCAATCAATCAATCAATCAATCAATCAATCAATCAATCAATCAATCAATCAATCAATCAATCAATCAATCAATCAATCAATCAATCAATCAATCAATCAATCAATCAATCAATCAATCAATCAATCAATCAATCAATCAATCAATCAATCAATCAATCAATCAATCAATCAATCAATCAATCAATCAATCAATCAATCAATCAATCAATCAATCAATCAATCAATCAATCAATCAATCAATCAATCAATCAATCAATCAATCAATCAATCAATCAATCAATCAATCAATCAATCAATCAATCAATCAATCAATCAATCAATCAATCAATCAATCAATCAATCAATCAATCAATCAATCAATCAATCAATCAATCAATCAATCAATCAATCAATCAATCAATCAATCAATCAATCAATCAATCAATCAATCAATCAATCAATCAATCAATCAATCAATCAATCAATCAATCAATCAATCAATCAATCAATCAATCAATCAATCAATCAATCAATCAATCAATCAATCAATCAATCAATCAATCAATCAATCAATCAATCAATCAATCAATCAATCAATCAATCAATCAATCAATCAATCAATCAATCAATCAATCAATCAATCAATCAATCAATCAATCAATCAATCAATCAATCAATCAATCAATCAATCAATCAATCAATCAATCAATCAATCAATCAATCAATCAATCAATCAATCAATCAATCAATATGTAGCTTCTAAACATGTTACAAAGTGAAAGCAAGCTTGTGTTTAATTGCTTAACACAGTTATTAATAAGGTATGTGCATGCGAACCGAAATATTGGCCCAAATGTAGTGTTTGAATGATTCGAGTACAACATTTCAACATTTATTTACTGGCCGACAGTTATTCAGTTTTCACTGAGTAGGTTGGTTCCCAGCTTAAAATAGGATTTGATATTGTACGGGGACCGGCAACACGTCTGTCACGACGTATAAGCTCTGCTTGTGAGTGGTATAAAAAGACAAACCTAAATAGTCTATTTGCAATGTTCAACATAATTTTATGTGGATGGTTTTTACATGTTGCATCATAACATTTCCTGAATCGGAAGAGAGATTTCGGGGAAGAATCAGGTTATCAGTAATATAAAATAACACGCTTTTCATTAAATCCATATCGTTTACTTGAATTCTTCAACCTGTCCACACCCATCTGGTTCCTAGAGTTAACACGATTTACGTGTTGTAGTACTCGTACTCGGTCTCGTACTCAAGTATTACTCGAGTATTTTTTTTTGGAGTACTCGTACTCGTACTCGCACTCGAATGTCAAAGTACTCGTACTCGAAATGACGGTACTCGTACTCGGGCAGCAAAGTACTCGTACTCGACATGTCAAAATTGTATTCGATCATTAAAGTACTCGTACTCGAACAGCAGTACTCGGGAAAAAAGGTATATTATAGCTTCACTTACAGTGACTTTATTTTATCGATGCTTTCAGTTTGAAATGGTTGATTGGCTTGTGGAGAAATCGAGATTTCCTGATTTCCCTCTGTGCCGGCCGGACAAACACAATAACAGCTAGCCGTGAGTGGGTCTGCATATCAGTCTGACTGGGCCTGGGCCAATTACGCACAATGAACCATTTGCCGTATGGCCGTATTCGGATATGTGAGTACTCGTACTCTACTCGGAAGTACTCATACTCGTACTCGGAAGCACAAGTACTCGTACTCGGAGACCCGTTCTTGTACTCGGAGGTACAAGTACTCTTACTCGTACTCATACTCGGCAGCCTAAGTACTCGGTGGTACTCGGTACTCGGAAAAAAATACTCGACTACAACACTGCGATTTACATCTGTGTTTCTTTTACAGGACAACCAACCTGGTGTGTTTTTGGCTCTTTATCAATAACTGTGCATTCTTTTGTCGAATATTAATGATTAAAAAAAGTCTACGAACAAAGCAGAAACTGCTATAGATCTGCACACATGCCATGCATGGGGCTAAACCATTAACCATTGAACGTGCTTGACAGTTAATTTGTTGAGGTTAAAAATGGAAGGCCAAAATGGACTTATAACGAATTTGGCGTACATGGGTCGTTCGACCCCACCACTTCCCAGTCGTGCCACGGTTTAATTATTTTTGTATAATACCCTTAGCAAATTCATGGATCTTAATCTGTAATCATAATTATAGTTAAAACAATACAATTGGCAATACCGGGTAAACGAGAAGTTCCAACAGTGCAGTTGCCATAGGGTTGAATAGTGCTCACCATGAAAATCATTATGTACAATTTTCCGGGAAGCCTGCATTGTGAGAGACTATAAAAAAATCACTCGAAATCTTACCTTTATTGTGTAGTGAAAGGACACACAAGAACAAGGCCGGCAGCACGACGTCTCTCAGGCGGCAAATGCACGATGGCGCCATGTCCTCATCTACAGGTGGATGTTTCCTTTTCTCATGGACAATTGTTGTGATCAGTGCTTCAGAAGGAAACCAGAAAATTTGACGATCCTTATGTGTAGCCCGTTTCCACTAACTTGTGTAAGAAACAATGTAACTCCGTATACGGCAGTACAGAGTTCAAGTTTATTTACGGAACCTTTGTACCGTATTGTACAGTTATATTATGTACCTTTACAACAAAGCAGTTGTTCGTGTAGGATTAATATGTAGCTCTACTTATTTATTTCCTGGTTGAAATAATACTTAAATTACTAACTTAAATGATTGTACGTTTGTATTTTGACGCAGGGCTCTGTTATAACAAAGAGTTCCTTTCTTTCAGTGTAACCAACAGAATAGGAACCTAGGCCTCGGTTCACAAAAACGGACCCGTTTTATGCAGTACGTAGTTCGTAAAGTTCCTTGCACCTGCTTCAAAATGCAATTCTAGATATTTTGTGTGATAGTTGATTGTTAATGAAACGGTCTAAATTTCTGTAGTACCCCGAGGTCCACGTCAAAGGTCACGAGTCTGCGGGGTAAAGACGTACATCTGATGACGTACATGTAATAAAGGTCGCTGCTTACTTTTGGTTAAAAATGTGCATGGCACTAACCGAAATTGATTTTAGAAAGTACGACAAAGAACCTTGACTTGAAGATCGATGCTTATCCCGAATGTTCTATACTTAATACATGCACATGAAATCGTCGTCGGATCTAGGATGCCAGGATGGGGATGGGACTGGGGCGGGTCTTTGCCATTGAACGAAGCTATATATAACACAGGAGTGAACCAATGCTTTTAAGGCAAGGGGACTTTTGAATACGAACAGTAATTGTATCTATTTTGCGGGGCCCTTGCGACGGCTATGTTGAACTTGAGTCACAAAACATTCACAATGTCTTGGATATAGAATCAGGGATAAAATACAGGTGCGGTGTTCTATGTTGCATACTATTATTATCAGATTGTAAAACCATATGGTATACAAATATTGAGTGGCTCAGCGTGGAATGGGAGGAATATTATCGCCAGGTAAAACTGGACTTTTCCATTTCACGAGGCGAAGCCGAGTGAACTGGAAAAGTCCAGATTTTACCGAGCGATAATATTCCTCCCATTTCACAATTTAAAGCCACTCAATATTTGTTTTATATTACTGACATATAGATCCTTGTAATTTGATACATTTGAACTCTTTTTCAATACGAAACTGGAGGAAAATCTATTTCTCTAGTCCAAACCACCCCTTCACGAAAATGTTTGAACCCAACGCTGTAGCGCTGGCTCTTTGGAACAATACGCGCTACGCGCAACGCTGAACGCGCACACCGGCATGCATTTGCACACAAATACCGCGTCATGATCCTAACTGTTGAAAAGTATTTTCCATTCCCCATGGGAGCAATAACGAATGTCATGTGATGTGAGTTCCACCAATCAAATGACTAGGATCTGTATGTCGGTTATATAAAATGTAATGGGTCCTTTAAACAGTGTACATGCATTGCGGGCAGGCCTTTATTTCATGGTGCTCGTGATTTTGTTATACATTTGATACTGTTTACCCCTAAAATTTTGTCTTCATGGGTGCATCTTATATATAGTGGAAAGACATAAACTCTGAAATGTATTAACGATTCAGGAAAACCGCACATAGCTAACTAAATTCGTATAAGAGTGGTCTTGAACATTGTCCCGCGATAAGGCTTGTGCATAAGCGGCTTTGAATTCAACGTTTCCGCATTGTAGTATTATTAATGCTTCAACTCCCCATGTAAATGCAAAACAAACCGAAAGTTTACTTTACTCTAAAGTTTCTATTTCGTCGGGTTGTTCAAGCTAAAGTTATCTTCCTTTTGTTCTTGGTCTTGTTTTTAGTTTACACAATGTACATGTATGACTAACACGATAACTATAATTACACGCATCTCTTCAAATGCACAATATCAAAACGAGGAAATGACACTGTGATGAATAAATGCTATTGTGTACGAGAGTTCAGTGGCGGTTCTACGGGGGGGGGGGGCATGGGGGGGGGGGGCTTTAGCCTAATTTATCTAGCCCCCCCCAAAAAAACCAAAATTCCATAAAAAATGCGCTAGCAATATGTATGAATGTGACGTACATGCGAACGGTCTCCCCCTAAATAAATAGTCGTGAGAAGGGTGCATTTGTACACTTTTAGTTGATATTGTGTGCCTGATTGAAGGATTTTATCAGCGCTCCCTATTGAAATTATGGCAGGCCACCCCCCCCCCGTAATGATTTTGGAGGTCTAAGTGTCCGGAAAAAATAACTGGTCTACATTTCAGCACGCCTCCCTAAAACAATTTCTGGATCTGCTAGCATGGGCGACGCCCATGTTTCCAGCTCTTGCACGAAACGTTACCCGAAACCGTTGGTTTATTTAGCTCCACTGCGCATGTTTGTCATCACGCGAGGAGCTAGGCTCGAGTAAGCTGGGGGAAGTAATCGAACGCACTCCATGCGAACCGCACGGTGTATATCATAGCATAGCACGAATGGAACGCGACCCGACCGTTTGTCAAATGGGTCCTAGTTATCAGTGTATGACGTTTTTACTAACGATACCTTTTGGTCTGCGAGCCAGACTACCATTTGGACATGGAATAGTTGACTCTAACCCAGGTCACCCATTAATTAATGTCATTGAGGGTCCACAGGAGGTTCCAGACCAGTAAATAGACTCCCATAGACCTCAGTGATAATTACGTGCACTTTTAAACAGTATTATAAATACTCACTGTAAGGTATTTGAGACACTCATCAAATAAAAACTTATTTCATCTTTTTTCGTTTTCTGTTCAATTTTTTGAGGTAATTCCATGATTTGGGGGAAAAAATCCCATCCAAAGATGACCAACCCTTAAAGAAGTCCTGTAGCCCATCGCCATTTTGATAAAAGATGCCAGCGTTCCATTGGGCCAAATTTATCCAAATTGCACAGAACTTCGGGCTCGCTGTGGGTGCAGGGCTTTCACTTGGGGGGGGGGGGCTGAAGGGGAGGGGGTGCTACAATATTTGGGTTGTTTGAGGACATGATTTTGGAGGTTAACTCTTGAAAATTAGTAGAATTTTTACAGTCTTCAAGACATCTTTGAATTTTGAAAATTGCAGCTTGCCAAATAGTTTTTTTTCTTCGAATTGCAGCAGAATCATAAAGGTCCCTTTTTCCATTTTTGTGAGGGAAGAGGAGGAGGGGGAGCTTGACGGAGATTTGGAAAATTACCAGCTACAAAACGGCTTTTTCAATTTATGCCAAGTGTTCATTTTGTGCCTTTGTTGATTATGCATGACGGTACACCTATAGAGGGCGCAATAATAAAGTGCCAGTCACATCTACGATGGTTTGATGGAGTACATCGATGGCCGTTGTAGTCGTAGTTTTTATATAGACTATACAGAGTACGAGGGATCGGGCATTCAACATCACGAAATTGTGTTATGCATTCGATTTAGTGCTAAACAGAAATTTCACGGTGAAATAGATAAATAAAAAAAAGAAAAAAAAGAGCTAAAAAGTCAACGACAAAAAAGTCTGAACAACAAATTTCCGTAATTTTGCCAGCATTTTATTGAAAGCTCTTCATTAAGTTCAATCCTATCTTACCACTACATGGGTCGTGATTTTGTCTACAGTGCTCTTTAAATTGGCCTGTCCCAATATACCTTATCCGTTGAATGTGTCTCAGAGAGTGCTCATTCTTATTATAATTTATTCATAAACACCTCAGCCAGTTCACCCATTCCTGTTGGTTGAAAGCCCGTCACGTGGTCAGTCTTAAACGGTTGATAACAACCGACTGGCTTGAAACAATTTTTTTTAATTTTTTTTTTTACCGAATGGGAATAAATGATTACGTTCCTGGCCGATATTAAACACTATGTTTAAAACCGGTTGGAGTCTGGATGCTGATAATTATCCTCGCCTTCGCCTTGGGTAATTATCAGCATCCAACTGGTCTTAAACATAGTGTTTAAAACCGGCCAAGCACACATTTATTCCCTTAGCAATAATGAATGCACGGGTTTACTCATGCCTTTCCATGCGATAAGAAACCGTTGCCCTCTGACGACGCTCTAACGCATGAGGTATACTGTGTACACAAAATACCAAGTAGCACTAGGTCACTAAAAATAGTTGACTGCAAACAGTACTGGAAATTATCTCAGACAAGCAATAAGTATTAGTTAAGCATTCCCTGTGCTATTTAAAGTTTAATTTCACTTCGAAAAAAATAGAGTTTGTTTTCAATTGGTGTTTTCCTAGCAATATCAAAGTTATTTACTTTTGTTTGAGACGCTGACCAAAAAAGTTAATTTTTTTCACAAAGTTCGAGTTTTGGTTGTTATACTATAATAATAATTCGGCTCTCGCAGTGTGGGTCACTTGTGGACAAAAATGAAATCCCTATTTCAGAGAGTTACTTTATCAGAGAGTTATAAAAAAATACCAATTGAACATTTGTTAGGAGAGAAATTATATCAACTTTTTTTTCAAGAGGACGGGGTATGATCTTTAAGTAAGTTACAATTCAGCCTGGCTGTGTTCTGTTACACAGCCAGGCTGAAAAAAAAGCAACTACAGTTCTTCAAGTCTGCGGAGGAATTCTTTCATAATTATTGAAGATCATTCACCTTATGTATATTCCATGGCAAAAAGAACGGTTTCATTCGAAATGAAAGCTGTTAAAACAAGTACTGATGAAGCGTGCCGAATAGCCGACTTTGATCAAAGTTGGGTCAAATTGGTTTGTTGGGGAATTATGTCCTATTTTAGTAAGGCTAAAAACAAGACTACATCGGGGTAAGCTTTCATGCATGCCATACTAATTTTCCCTATAATTCTTTTCAGTAAACGTTTTCATTACTTATTATTATTATTTCATTACTTTCATTATTGTAAAATTACATTTACAGGTATATTTTTCTGAAATACACATGTTTATTTTGAGAGCATGGGAATATCAGACAAGATAACTAAAATGCAGAAAAAAACCCTGTCTCCCGTAAATTATTTTTAGTTTTAAAGTAGCTGTGGGTAGTAAAATACTGTGGTATATGTTTTAGGTATTAAAATTATCACTAATACAACCCTGATGACATAATCTTGTTCGTTTGTAACCAATAAACCTTATGCATAGCGGACATTTTAGATGCTATGCTATTTTTTTAAATTTTAATTCAGTAACAATGAGTACCCAATGACATACAATTCAGTCAAGCATATCCCAGAAAAACAAAAGCATTGCCCTCTAAGATGCCTGCTACGCATAAGGTTTATAGCCTACTCCATATTCGCCAATGTACCAATGCCCCACCCTTTATATGGCTTGGGTGACTTACATCTTTCTGTACGGGAGACGCGAAGTTTTGCGGATAGGTTTGTGTAAATAATACGTATGGCATTCTGAAACCAGCTAAGTCGTGAAATCGAGCGAAGATGATTAGATGCATTTTTGGTGTTACCCTGGGTAAATAACTCAGTATTCTACTTCGCAAGTTTTTTTTTTTATTAATTAGAAGGGTGTCATCTCAGATGGCTGCTACGCATAAGGTTTATAGCCTACTCCATATTCACCAATGTCGCACACTTTATAAGGCTTGGGCAACGTACCTCTTTCTGTAGAGGAAACGCAAAGTGTTGAGGACAGCTTTTTGTAAATATTACATATAACCTCCTGAACCGAGACATGTTGTGAAAACGAGATGATTAGGTGCCTTTTGTGAAATGATTAGGTGCCTTTGTAGTGTTAGCCTGGGTAAATAGCTCAATATCCTACTTTGCAAGTTTGTTTATTTTAATAAAAGCTGCCCTTCCATTAACGCATTTTTTGTAGTCCGTTTCGTGTCTGTTAAGCAGTTTCGCCTTTGGTGCACAAGCATCGATGGACAAAAAACAAATGAAAACAAAATATCCGCAAAAGGCGACCTTTTCTACATTTTCTCGTGAATTGTTTACAAGGGTGTCATCTAAGATGGCTGTTACGCATAAGGTTTATAGCCTACTCCATATTTACCAATGCCGCACACTTTATAAGGCTTGGGCAACGTACCTCTTTCTGTAGAGGAAACGCAAAGTGTTGAGGACAGCTTTTTGTAAATATTACATATAACCTCCTGAACCTAGACAAGTTGTGAAAACGAGATGATTAGGTGCCTTTTGTGAAATGATTAAGTGACTTTTTGGTGTTAGCCTGGGTAAATAGCTCAATATCCTGCTTTGCAAGTTTGTTTATTTTAATAAAAGCTGCCCTTCCATTAACGCATTTTTTGTAGTCCGTTTCGTGCTCGTTAAGCAGTTTTGCCTATGCTGCACAATTGTTAATGGACAAAACAAACGAAAACAAAATATTCTCAAAAGCCGACTTTTTCGACAGTTTCTAGTGAATTATTTACAAGGGTGTCACCTTATGACAATCTATTCCCGTGATTTAGACGAATAAGCCGTTAAATATAAATCCAAAATCTTCCGAAAATGTCTGATCACACACTTTTTTTTGTACTTCGAAAGTTTTTTGGCTTACGTTGCGAAATATTATACCTTTAAATTAAAAAGCGTCATCCCATAATATACAAATTTGCACATTCAAACAATTTTTATATGAAAACATATCGAATTCAGCGAAAAATATACATATCAAACTTTCAAGATGCATATAAACGTGGCATTACAAAAAGTCTATTAGCCCCATTTTCGGCAACGCAATATTTCAGTCAAGCATTTTTTTATATTTTAGTACAAAATATATGATGACAGCGTATAATATTATACCCAAATACGTGATTAAATAGTTCTAAAAATAGAGACCCTGAAAACAAACTATGTAACGTTTATTATCACTAAATATACTGTTTAATATACTTGTATCAAGAAAATAGCAGAAAAAATATTGCTTTTGTTGCAACAGAGAAAACAAAATACATACCTCTGGGTAAAAATTAGTTACATACAAAATGTACTCCATTCATGGGAGGGGAATTTACACCCGAATAATTCTAGCTCAATCTAGTTTCTAATATTCCTGTGGGAATTTTTTTTTTAATCAAGAACGGTACATATTGGAGAGAAAAACACTGTACCGTTTAAAAATCGTTCGTTTCACCAGATTTGATAAGGCGAGCCATCAGATAACAGACCGTTCGGGTACCGGGTCCGGTATGCTAATTTCTTTCACCCCAATCGGTACGAAGCCAGAAGCCACCCGGTCACTGAAGCGTGACGCCCCAATCGGTCCAAACTGGTGATTCAGGGTTTCACAATAGGCAACATAAATTGAAGTCTAGCCATTGTTGGAGGATTATTCGGCCAGCTGGGATTACCAGCGGCAACTTCTTTGAAGCTCATCACAGTCATTGTTGCCTACTGGAGGATTAGCGCGTCACAAATTGGTTCCTTTGTGATGAGCCAGAGCCATGGTGCAGAAGCCTGGTGAAGTTAATCCAGGCCGATCGGTTCCATGCAAGGTCCCAATCCCTTCAACATACTGGGCGGGCTCAACCCCGAACGGTCCGGGGAGGGATTCTAATTTGAGGGCTCGCCTAAACCATCTGTGGAGAATCCGAGGGGATTTGGAACCGGTGGGCTCCATAATGAGATGCTAACGCTGTACTGACTGAGCTGTGGAGGCCTATATTGGCGATCTCCCTATTTATCTAAAGTTTTTTGGGTATACTGTGGTCATTTTCCGTGTAGGCCCTAACTCAAATAAGACAAGCCCAGTAAAAATGGTCCAAGGTCCCACGAAATCTATTCGATTGACCTATCGCGATAGAATCGCGGTAGAATCGGGTCAACGCAGCTTGTGAATTATTTACCAATTACATAATATACAAATGGACGCGGAACGCACAAAATCTGAGACAAACAAATCTCAGTGTACAAAAACTCCATAGAGTTGTTTAAGGGGCGTGGCTAACTCGCAACGGCGATAGGTCATTTTGTATATCATGTAATTGGACAATATTTCACAAGCTGAGTTAATGCGATTCTAACGCGATTCTACCGCGATAGGTCAATTGATTAATTGATTCAGCATGGCTGTTTCACTCTTTTTAGGCAACCCTGTAATCATATATGATAGCACTGCCCTACTCACAAGATACAAACAGTGGGGGAGTGAGTTGGTCAGTCAGTCAGTCAGTCAGGGCTTCAGTCAGTGATGTATAAAGAGGACTTTTATTGAATGCTTAACCAGGAATGTGATATCCATGGCTTTCTACCTTACGCGGTAGAGTCGATCCCCCCTGTGGGTGTGACGTTCTCGTAGATGCTAGTGGAGTCCACCATGGCCTGAATCACATCGTAACACAGTGCGTATTGGTCCTGGTAAGACGAACAAATGGTAAAATTCATCAGCTGCTCTCTGAATGAGAGCGAAACTAAGGTCGATTTAAAGTAAACAATCAAACATTCACTCTGAAAAAAGAGGATTCGATTAAATTTAATATACTCGATTGAAATTCACCCTAAATTTTCTGGTCCTAGTTTTACTCGTTGGGACTATATGTTCATTCGAAATCTTTCCAAAGAGAGCTCAACGAGATCAGTCCTTCCCAGCGTCCTGTTTGCAGGGCGGGGGTACGAGCGAACATGTGATGCTGTGATCATCGAAAACGCGACGTGATTGGATCGCACCATTTGCTCGAATTTAATTCACGCATGCGCATGTGGCCTACCATAACAAAGGAGGTCACGGCTGCACGTGCCAGTCTTTCATTTCGTCTCCTGTACTATTGTCAGTTTTAGCGTATAAGTTTCGTCTTTTTCTGAACGTTTGTACACGTTAATGTATAACGCGGAATGGGCATCGCGGTCAAGCTAGTTACACAGGCTGCTTCAATAAAAAGCAGCAACCTCATCGAAAGCCTGTTGAAAGATTCAACAGGTAACTACTTAATGCTACCCACCGATCACGACCGCGAGAAATTAACAAATAGTCAACGTGTTAAGGTGTGCAAATGAGAGAAGTGTAAAAGTGAAGAATAGTAAATGTTCAAGTAGGCCCAATACGAGTACCACAATGGCCGTCTACTACAAGTAGCGAAGAAAAACGCAGTTATGCCTTTTTATTACTTGAAGATAAAGATATTTAAGTCATTGCTTAGATGGCGAAGGAACCCACTGAATTCTGGACTAAGACCAATTTGCTCCTTTTTTTCAAAAAAAAAATGTCGAAAAGTTAATAATCCCATTTTGTGCACGGCTAACAATTGTACCTGTAGCGTTCACTTTAAGTTACACTGCACTGCGCCTTTAACGCATCTGTATATATGTTTAGTTCAGAGGTCAACCTTCATGCATTCAGTTTCGTTTCGTTATCGTTCGTCTATGCTAGTTTACTGTCACACACGCAATATTTACAATTACAGTGCATTTTCCTATACTTTCGCTTGGAAGTTACAAGCTAGAATCAACACTATTCTTTACATGATTTATTAAACATCGGCAGAGCTATTCCAGTGAGCAATCCAAGCTTCTCTCGTGGATTTTTGTGAGTGTTTATTGACCGAACTTTGTGTGCATATTCACCACGTGAGTTAATACCAACTCGCCCCGCATTCACGGCGCGGGCAGTCGCCCCGTTCGCGTTGCGTTGCGCATGGACTCGGCCCAGTTTTGGCTGTTTACATACTTCAACTTGGTGAGTCATTTAACTTTCAATAAACTCGGGAGTTAAAGTAGGACGGAGCAACCAATTCCTACATACCTCTATAATTTCAGAAAGATATGTCTTACATCTGCCATATAAATGGTTCAGCGTACGTCAAGTAAGATGGTGGATATGACTATCATATGAGACAATTTGTTAAAAAAAGTACCTCTAGAGTCACATCCTTGAAGAGAGTGAGCACGACACACAATACTTACCTCCGAGTACATCATGTTTGGGTTGACCATGCGCAGACGATGAGCTGCTTGGAACACGTCCACGGCTTTCTCGACATTGAACTGTTCCAACAGCGCCATCAACGTGCAGTATACAGACGTACAACCAAGACCGTCCCTTCAAAGGCAAAAAGAAAATATGAAAATAAACAAAACTCACTCAAATTACATTCATAACAATCAATACAGACCTTTTCATTTTAGGATGTTTATCTTTAGTAACTTTAAAAATTCTACAGATGTCAAATAAGTCTTAAACTTGAATAAACAAAATTATATCTTGACAAGGGGCTTTAATGATTCAAGAAAAAATACTACCAAAAGGTCTAAATTCTATACATAAATATAAAACACAAGAATGGAATTCCCTTAAAAAGAAACATGTCAAAACACTGAAAGGGATTAACATCAGATTTGCCTACAGTGACATGCACTTTGGAGCAAGCAAGTACTGAATACAAAAGTTCTCTTCAATAATATTTAATAGTAAAATGTCTCCAACTTCAAACGTTTTCCCCCTTTTTTCACTTTTCCGTCAGACGTTCTTTAAAATTGTTTTTCGTTACAGTTGTCACATTCCGCGAGGGATATTGAACGCTTGGCTTCCCTCTAAGTCTTAAGCTAGTAGGTTGACCTAAAAAATACCCGGATAGGCTTTGTTTGGCAAAATTCCTCTGCATTGGTACATGTATTAAGAAACTATTAAAAACAAAACATGTAGACCGATCCAAGTCGAACCGCGACCCGGAGACTCAGACAAAATGTAATACAATTCAACAATACTCTTTACACATCCAGAATTCCCCGTTCGACTTACATGCAATGGACCACAATGGGTCCTTTGTCTCCGTTCCACTTTCGAGTGAGATCAATGAGGGTCAGCATTCCTGTAACGGAATTCGGTATCTCCTGGTCGGAGGGCCAGTCGTGGTATTGGAACTGAGTGATGGTGCGTGCTTCCTCGGACTGTAAAAGATGTAGACACAGTTTGGTTAAGCACAGAATTAGTTATGCAGAGAAAGTCTGTATGGCAAAACCAGAGTACCAGCCAATATGCCATGCGATGTGTGATGCGTGTGATTGTTTCTCTGGGGATTCTTGCTCGGCAAGTAAATTTGCCAAGAAATTGTGTCTGCCAAGAACATCGATGTAATTGGCATCTGGACTGAGGTAATATATTTATCAAAACTAATTTTGAATTTTGCAACTAAGCTATCACATTATAACATTCAACATTAGGAAGTTCATGAAATTCGCTTAGCACAAACAATTTGCCCACTAAATGCAAATTTAATAGCCTCATTACATTACCTCATTTTACGAACAGGCCTCTTTCAAGGACAGGATTGGAAAGGGTATCTGCCTTTGGACTAGAGATAATCTCCAAAGTGTTAATTAGGGGTTGCAATGCCAATGACCTAACCAAATGCTGTTAGCATTGTGCATGTCCACTGCAGCTGTCCAAGAACATAAAACAATTGATCAAGCTGTGGGACTCGAACATACAACATTCATGCAAAACCAGTTCAGACATCATTTAAGGCATATAGGAACGTTTGCTTGTCATGCAATTTCGGTTTATAATATCACTCAATTATAATACCACTCAAAATCCAAAGAAGAATGTTCCAAACCTAACCTGTTGAAGTTTCAGCTCAGTGGATAATATGGAAAGATTTCCATATACGAAGTTCACTCAACACCCTGTGTACAAACCCTATGAGATTGGACTGAACAATTCTAAGTGTTTTCTAAGAAAATGCTTGTATTTTCTCACTGCTCAAATTGACTTTGATGACATGAAATTGCTATCTTGGGGCTTGTTAGTCAATACAGAGGAAAATAAGTGAACTTCGCATATGGAAATCTTTCCGTATTCTTTATTTAAAAACCAAATCATTAAATTGACTGACGGTTGGAATTCACCTACATTTTTTGATTTCTTCTAAATGACAGCAAGCCAGTCGGAATCATTTCACGACGTGTTTAGTACCAGCCTAAGCTTTTCGATAATAATTATGTTTGTTACCTTTGGGATAAATGCAAATGATCCTGTAAGCAGATAAACCTTTTTGTTTAATATACCGTGCTTTTGGTGTTCCTCAGCGTGAAGGTACATCTTGTCACATTGTCGTATTGCTTGGTCTGGATGAGTTCGACAGACAGCTTGCCAAAGTTGATGGTTCCCTCCTCCGGCCAGTAGCGACACATGGTCTATAATCAGAAGACAAACAAGTTATTTAAATGTTCAAATTCGTATTAGTCTTTGTTCACAGGCGTTTTCTTAAAGCGTTTTCTGAAAATAGGTTACGACCTAATAGAAAACCGTATCACCTAATAGTTTTTAAATTAAAAGAAAACAGCCCTGTCTTCGATTTCTAAAATGAGAATGTTTGGTTTTCAAAACTTACAGGGAGACTTTAATCAAGAGCACACGAATCTTCTGCATCGCCTAAGAAAGATATGTACCCAACCCGCCTGAACTATCACGTACCAGGAAATTGGTAAGTGAATACATATTATAATTTTACGGGAAATTGTATCATTGGGAGACGTTCCATAGACTTGTGCAGAAACAAATCCGAACTGTCATGACATTTAACCCCATAACCTAAACTAAATAAATGTGGGTTTTGCATACCGAGGATTCGATTTAGGCTATTATTTGCGACATTAAAATTATGTCCAGAAAAAGGACACGGATGTCTTCCTAATATACATGTACCTTGTTTCCCTGTAAGCAAAACGTGTCTCCCTAATGGGCCGTCTAAATATCGTTAATATCGGTCGATCATGCAAGCGGATATTTAGTTGTATAGTAATCCATATTACTATTTCATTGTGAAAAACTGTCGTTAGAGAAATGAGATTGATCTGAGCTGTCATCATACCTTGTCGTTGGCATCAAAGGTGTTCAGCATCACAATGCTGGTCGCTTTGTGGTCGTACATCAAGCGCCAGAAATCAGTGACAGTGTTGGGCATGGGCATCTGCGTACCGATGTACATGCTCTTTTTACGGTAGCCCTGTTGGACAGAGAACATTGAGAATCATGTTGAATAAGTACTGCTGTGTAGGCCTTAAAAAAATTGTATTAGTACTAACCATAAAGGGCAGCTAAACAGGGATGCCATTTTGTTAAAACATAACATTGTCATTTTTGTACATGGGATGTTATGTACGTTAAAACTACGGAAAATTGTACTTGTTGAATTTTTTCAGAGCTTCACCTCGTGACATTAAAATGTGTTTCATTTCAAAGAAATCAAATAGATTTTATTTTGACACAAAATAATATCAGTGGTTCTTAAAATATAAAAAGTGTAAAGGAGAAAAAAAATCAACCAACAAAAACAGTCTTGGGTGTTTTGGATATGGCGGTTAACCTTGCTCGCATATGTACACATTCCTATATATTGTAGTATTCGACCATTGGAAGTCGGGCATAATATTGATGCTAAGTGCTAACTCAAATAATCAGATACTTACTGGCAAGAAGGTTGCGTTGATGTAGTTGGTTTCATCTTCCTGGACACTGGTAAACAGAAATGGCCGAGAGCGGTCACCTGTAAAGCAATCGATTATGATATAGTAATTTATTAAAAGAATACAGGATAAAACTTCCCGAAGTGACAAATAGGTCATTTTGATAGTGGCAATGATGCATTGGAGAATGTCATAATGCCAAAATAAGTGATTCTCTTAAGTGATGAGAAGCATCAGGTGTTGCGCCATTAAGGGTTGGTCATACGGGTTTGTTCACCAATGTCATTTCGACAGCACTTAATCTGTACTTATTATAGGCCTGTCGCAACATTCATAGTACAGAAAGATATTATAAACGCATAAACACTCAAATCATTGTCTGGACTCACTTGGTATGAAATCCGGATATCTGTTCTTGTCCTTGTTCTCAGGGAGCTGTCCCGACTTATTGTCGACTTTACCACGTCTGACACTAAGCTGGATCAATGTCTTAAGAAAAAAAACCCAATAAAATTGATGAAGAAAATCTTAGGGGAGAAAATGATTTTTAGACAAATGACGATTTTCACTTTATTGGTTTGCATTATAAAAGGAGGCAAAGGGACTTTGACATGCCTACTGATTAAAAAACAGAAATCAAGCAAAAGGAATGAAGGTGTGCACGTATCTAGTTCAATCACTATGATTATAGCCTCTTTGAGATAAATTGGACACAGGAGTGTTTGAAATAGGTACATTTGGTAAGATACAGAAGAGTTTATCAGCTCCAGAGAGCGCCCTCCAATTGTCTCAAACATAATCTCCAAAATGGCTTCTAGCTTACCGTGAACTGTTTCTGAAGGCCTGTTTCCTTCGCCCCTTTGTTCTTCTTTTTCAGAGCCGTCAGTTTCTGACGGAAGTCTGCAACACTGTAGGTCGTGTCTCCAGTCAGAGAGGCCGACAGAAGTGCGTCATAGAGGAACTTGTATTGCTCCTGGATATAAAGATCCATTTCACAATAGGGCCATTCTTAAAATTTTCTTTACATTTTCGGTCATATCAAAAAACGCCAAAACCCAAATTTGAGTGTTTTGGGTCGTGCAGTTACAGGTCGTTGAAACTTTGACCATGTAATTTTTTACTCTAACATCCGGGATGTCTGTATCTTTGGTAAGGAATGCCAGACAAAACCTTTTACCTTAAATTAAAGCTCTTAATATAAGAAATTATTTAGGTAAAAAAAAAGGAAAAATGTGATATTTCAGCATGAGGTCAAGCAAAATATACTTTGACCTTTGACCCTGTGCCAGCCGCAAAATTGATTAAAAAAAAGAAAAAAAGTTTGTCCTTAAGAAGGCCTCATGTGTACTCATTATGCTTGTGAAATATAAAATTTGGATCTCAAGGAGTTGAGACGGGATGTATGTAAGATTTCAGGCTTTGCATGGTGTAGATACTAATGAATGAAAGTTTTGTGGAAAAACCAGGTGGGAATAATATCTCAAATTAAGAGAATGGTTCTGAAAAGAACCAGAGGTTTAAACTCGACGTTCCGGTCAGTATGCTTTGACCGTCTTCAGGAGAGTAATTAATTACAGGATGTATGCTTATATGAGGGCAGTACCTCAAGAAAAGCTACGGCAGTTTCTCTTAATTTCTGCATGTATTTCGAGTGATGACAGATAATTCAAGAGTATATTGGTAAACTCACAGGTGTCTGGACCATCTTGATGCGATTTTGTCTCATTTGGTAGATGAAGCCCAGAATATCAACTTGTCCTTCCTTTGCCATTTGCTCCTGCATCGCATCCAGGGCGATATATGTACCAGTGCGTCCAACTCCGGCACTAGATTATACAAGAGTAAACATCAATTTAACATATCGCAAGATAATACTTCTTTATGAATGTCTGTAGATAACAGCACACTTGGATACTTTATCAAACAATCTTCTGAGATTTACAGTTACTTAAAATTACGAACGATTACTTTAAATGTCGATACAAATACTCTTGTAAATAAGTGATGTAACTATCTTTTTTTTTTTTTTTAGTGATGTGGTGTTTTGCAGGTTTTGTTCACAATATACTATCTCCTAATTTGCAAATTCTGAATGTGACTTTTTTCTGTTACATAACTTGATATGCTGATTTTCTTTTGCCGAATGGGTAAACTGTACTCTAGCTAGGTCAAGGGGAGAAAGTGAGTGTACCTGCAGTGAACCATTGTGCGTCCAGGGTTATGATGTCCGTTGACCAATCGCAGGAAGTTGAGCAATGGTGCTGGGTACTCAGGGGGCTTCATGTCGGGCCAGGTGGTGTAGTGGAATTGCTTCACCGGTCTCATATCCTCACTGCCAACCTGATACCAAGAGGCAACATAAGACACTTTCGGTATCCATACAAGAAAAGCGTGACTAAAGAATGAAAATGTTTTGATAAGGAATTTGAGAACCTTGAACATAGTGAGTCATTTTACCTGGTGAATGCTGAAGTTACGAATGGTGTAATCCAGGAAAACCTCCTCTTTGTCTGTAGTCACCACGATGTCTGAGATGGTAGTAGATCTGGTATCAGCCCAGTATTGCAGGCACTTCATCTGAATACAGCAAAAAGTGAAATTAGTTTGATTCACTTTCGTGATGACTTGTTGTGTTGGTCCCATTTGTCCCTGACAAGCATAGTGTTGGAAAAAGATGGACCGCTCAGACCAGTTTCTAACTCGATGGATGTTTTCAGGGTCATGTTGGGACGACCTTTTCGTCGAGGGGCATCAGGATTCCAGAGGAGAACTTGACTAGCTGGCTCATTATGTCGATAAACGTGACCGGCTAGCCGAAGGCAACGCTGTCTGATGATGGTGGACTTAGGGGGAAGGGGACCGTATACAACGGAGTTGGGGACATGTTGTTGACAATGTGAAACGACGAATTCTTTTCTTTTAGTGGATTGGGAAATATGGTCGCTGGAGGAACAACGTGTTTGTCCTCTCTTTGTCATAAGATCTTGTGCTGATTGTGATTCCAAAGTTAGTGTCTTCGAATGCGTTAATTTTGTCCAGAGAATTTTTTAAATATCTTTCCGTTGTTTGTATAACTTAGTGTTAACTACGCACCACTTTTGTCATTTTTAAATGACAAAATCGCAAACCAATTCAACACTACCTTTCCGTTTTCCACTGGATTGGTGAGCATGACAATCTTATCGATGCCCAACTGCCAGACCATTCGCCAGATGTCTTTGATAGATGCCTTGTTGGCTCCTGCAAAATGAATTATAATAAATTAGTAAAATAATAGATGTATTGTGGTAGTACCGTTTAGTCATATTTCTTTGTGACTTTGTATTGTTCTGAATAGAAACGGTTTGGTACTAAGACTGGACATTCCGAACAGCTCTGTCCGTGAAAGTTGTCGCTATTTCAAGTAGATCAACAGCTGTGAGTAATTCAAGTTAACTTTTATTTTAATACAGGAATGAGTTACAGATAATTGTTCATGTCTCTATTTCTTGTTTGTCCGTTCTTGTTTGTTTTGTTTGTTTGTCCTGGCATGGCAATATAAGCCTTCGGCTTATGCACATGCCACCATATTGCTGGTTTAACGATTTATTAATTGTTAACGAGTCATAGATTTGAGGACAATTTATATTACTTGTTGGTTAATTGGATATTTTTTGCTCCGTTCCTCCTTGACTTCATCCCCGTTATATATTATTATCTTTTATGCTCCTTATTCAGTTCATCATTAATATTATTTATTCATAGACTCATCGTTCGTTTTGTACAATTCTCAGCAATATTGAAATATATGCATGAATGAATGAATGATTGACATAATTTGGTAGATAATTCGATGGTTGTATCTCGTGATTTTGTAGTTGCCAAAATTGATCTTTTACAAGACAAAATCACCGTCAGTTTTGCTGTTGCATTTACCTTGGCTGGCGATGTACTTGCTCTCCGTCTTGTATCCCTAAAGCAAAGGCATAATAAGACGTTAATTATTTAACTTGGTACAAACTCAATTCCACAAAAAGGCATTAATCGGAAACTATGGAAAAAACTGCACAAACTCAACTTGTTCATTTATTCAAACATGCAGGTGATGAAAATTAATTTCAAGAAATTAATTTTCATTGAAAAACAGAGGCTAAGTAAGTCTGGATTTCAACCTGTGTCAACTTGAATACTTCTCTTCAAAACTTAAAAGAGTTCATCAATTATGGACTTACATCGATGTAGCAGGCATTGATGTAGTCTGAATGGGGATCGCCTTCCAATGGTTCAAGTACAACACGGGAATGGTCATCTGCGTACAATAAAGAAAATGTTATTGAACCACACCCCTTTCATAACGATGCTCCTAAGAAGCCAGACAGCTTTTTTTTTATTCTGGCACTATATTGTATCCGGATGGATATCACCCTTATTTTACAGCTTACATTTATTGCCAATTTACATGTAAAAGTTTTCGCAATCTGTATAAACCTCCGACTGGATAAAACTGTAAACATTGATTGCAATGAGCATTACTACAACTATTTGAGTAAAGCTGTGATGATCAGCAGTGCTATCAAATGAATACAAAAGTGAGCCGCAATACAAACATGCAATGACATTGACGTATCGGTTCTTGGCCCTGTTCTCTGGTTTCGCTGCCACTGTCCATGGATGTAGTTGATCATCAGGAAGCGACTGAAACAGACAAAGAAAAAATAGTTACGTTTTATTATTTTATTTTTGTTAAAGTTTTTTTTGTAATGTTTAGTCCAGATTGTATATTGTGTATAATTACCCCCTCCCCCATTTTTTTTAACCCCCCCCGCAAACAAATACTTTTGGAAAGAACTGTATGCGAAATGACGTTAAAGGGAATAAACAACATTTGCAAACATCGAAAAACAAAACTACCATTTTTTTACGAAATACCTTACTACGATGTTGGTAAATGACAGTCTAAAGCATCCTGTAAAATTATGGCACCTGGTGTGAAGTCATTCTCAAGAAAAGTTGTATTTTGTATCAATTTCCAACGGTGGTCGGCCGACCAGCGTTGGAAACCTAATAATTTTTCAACTACTGCTCGTTATTTACCATATTTTTTTCACTCCAAATTTTGTTTGCTATTGGTTACCTGTTCATGAACGGGTGCAGGCAAGCTAGACTGGTTTCCTTACCGTGCAACAATTTTCCGGCATCTATAAATTGATCAATTTCATCTTTAGTGGAGTCAGGGAGCCAGACTACTTGAAAATTTTTGTTTTTCTTGATTATTCCAACATTTTTGAACACAAAACGTCAAACATGTCAGTGTAACAATATTTGATCTATTATACTGACCCCTCAAATAGTTCATTTCTGAAAATTACAGCAAAAACCAATGATGTACATTCCCTTTAACAAAATATTATTATATTGAAAATGACACGATTAAGAGAAATAATTACTCGTCAATGCAAAATTTAACGCAATGTTTTTTGAAAAGAGGATTTTAGTTTATTTTCCTGAAAATTGAATTCAATATGATGCTTCATAGCCAAATACTGAGTGACGTGATAATTTACATTGCAAACACTGCGTGAGTACTTATAACTGGCGTTTATCTGGCATAACAGGCCAGGAAGTGACTCCTTTCACTTGATCGGGCCGAGAATAGTATTGAATTGGTATATTTTGGAAGAAGCAAGTTGTGCCTGGCTTTCTAGGGAGTATTTACCTTGTAGTCTGCTAGGAATCCATTATCGCCTTGCGCCTCCTTCTGGCGGATGTATTCAGCCAGCTTTTCCCTCCGGACAGGAGGTGGTGGTACAAATTCCACCTGTTTGTCGCCCTCTTCTTCTGCTGGCGGTTCTGGCTCGGCCTGCTTCTGGCGTTGTTTAGGGACTGGCTTACGTGTATGGGTGGTTGGTGTATCACCAACTGCTGCTCCATCGTTGACGTAACTGTTTTCTGAAGATTTTTCATCTGCGAAAACAAATTGTGATTATTGAGAGTCACCTTATGTCTTCAGAATAACTTTCTGGAAATTGATTGTTAATTGAGGATTATTTAAAAAATGGCTATCAAAATTGATGCGATAAACTCAGATATAAAACACCACATTCAAATTCTAAGATTTTTCTATGCGAAATATTTAAATGAAGTAAAATATTTGTACTTGTTGTTTTGACTATAAGTAAGATTTGAGGCTTTGCATGGTGGAGATACTAAATAATGAAAGGTTTGCGGAAACACCATGTGCGAGTAATTTCCCAACTAAGAGAATGGTTCTGAAAAGAACCAGAGGTATCAACTCTGGTTCTTTTCAGAACCATTCTCTTAGTTGAGAAATTATTCGTTTTGACTATAATTTTAAACTTGACTCAACCTGGATTATACTGGATATGTTGCACCTATTATATATCTAGTTTAAAAACTTGATGTAAACCAGCCTTAATTGTGCTGTCAGTGATGAAGAAATTAAATCTCTTAGAAAATTGTAGGTTTACCTGTCAAAGTCAAAGCTGGAGCCTTTGCGTTCAGTGGAATGTCAGATTCATCACTGTGTTGTTTTCCTTGACTGTCTCTCCTCCTTCGAAAGAAACACAAAACAAGACAGGCAATTGAAACAAATGATTGAATGAATTGATATCCTGAAACACCTGTACTATTATTGTATAAAGTAAATTATTATCTAAAGTATTCTAATGTGGAAAAGGGATTCTTGGACGAGGATCAAAGCTTGTCAACTTTTCATCTTGTTATTCTGTTGCAAAGTTATACATGACAAAAGATAACAAGCCTGTCGATTTGATAATAGAGTATGATACACATGCGTCGGTTAGCAGCTAGAATAAATCTGTTGACGTTTCTGTAATCAATATTCGTTTTTGATGGTTACCTCTTGTAGACTACAAAAGCAACGACAAGACCCAAAGCTAGGATGACAACGACGACCACGACAGCCACTATCACAGCAACTTGGGAAGGCTCTTCGAATTTCTTTGCTGCGAAACAAAGATCGACAAACACAAGGTTAGTCATGAAGTATAGATACTAACTTTATGGACTCTTCCAGCAATCAAAGTGCTACTACTCCATGGTAGGGGAGAATCTACATAAGTGACATAACAGTGACATAACTGTGATATAATATTATTATGCATGAATGACAATGAAATTCCAGGAGGAATATGTTACACCGTTACACCGTTACACCGCTCGTTCTATACAGAATCCACAAACGTATGCTAATTACGATCTAATAGGCACAAAAGCTGTCAGTAAAAGTTTCATTTTATGTATACACGAATACCTTACAACCTAAACAGAAAATAACATTCACCTGTAACCTTCAAAGGATCCGAGTAAGACACGTAGCCTTTCTGTAAGTAAAATATCACAAATATAAAGCATCAGAAGAGCCGAATCAATAATTACAAAATATCACTGATGATTATATAGACAGTGTAATTAAATTATCTGCGTAACCTACCGTTTCGTTGCCTCTGCTGACCGAGCCCGTGAAAATTTCGTACTTGTCGCCTGTTTTTAGCGGTGCGTTGAAGTAACCACCGTACATCTTGGTATCACCGACTACAAATTTGCCCGTTGCATTCTGAGCAGGTAACTCAGCCGCGATGTAGTCGTTGGGTGAATCTTCAACCCGATTCGGAACCAGAACATCTCTCTTTTTCTTCGATCCCACGTTCTTGACTCGGACAACATACGACCTGAAGAAAAACATATCAAATTTTAACCAGTGGATATCTTTATTTTCATATACTTTCGTGTAACTCAAAAACAAAATCTCATTTCTCAATAGCAGACATCCAGAAAAATAGACATCTCGATAGCTTTTTGACTATTTGTTTTGATTGAGCAGTAGTTACATTTTCTTAACACCAAGCTAATACTTCGAACTTGGGTTTATGCTTTAAAGGTAATTCATCGACAGAAATTACGAAACTCAAACATTGAAATTTCATATTTCAAAAGTTCACTCATAAACTTTTTTTTCAACTACAACAAGAAACAACTTTGTGTCATTACTCGCTTTTGGTACCATTTTGTTTATGTTATAAGCTTACTCCACGAACTGGCCCCCGGTGGTGGGTTTCATCAGCCCGATCGCCCAGGTAGTGTCAGTGGCTTCCTTGGGGAAGGAAGCTGGTTTAGCAGGTGCAGGAGGATCTAACAAAGTATTTAAAAGGAGTTAAAAATTTGATTAATTTATAAAACCGAGGCAATATGTTCGTTTCAGTTTAACTAGACGTAGTGATAATCGAGAGAGTTTAGATGTTGTTTGTGGTACAGACCAAAATTGGAACGACGTACAGCAACCTCATAAACTTCAGTTGTTGAAATGGTCGTCAATAATAGTAATATGGTTTCACAGGCAGTTTTTGTACATCACTTTCCATTGAAACCAATTAAAGACAAAGTTTACCAGCTTGTTAAGAGAGGAGAACCTTTTCCCACAGCCTCCGGCTTGCTAGTAGTCATTACTCGACCAAGAGCATGTTGGGTTCACGAACCGACATGTGAGTTGGATGCAAGATGCGGACAGTACATGTATTAAAAAGAACTATGTACCTGCTTTCTACAACCTGAAACTCTCTGTTAAGATTTTACCCGGAGCCCGGTTTTATTAGTCTATTCGCCGTGGTCTATTTCGCGCGAACACATTTGCTGATTAATTAGGCAAGACCCCGCCTCTTGACCTCCTAGATTTTGACCAATCAGTGAGCGCTTTCTAAATCGGGTCTTCGGTCATTCAGCCGTTGCGCGTCATGGACAATGGATAAAGTAAAAAAAAGTGTCACGGGCTAGTGTATCATGTTACGCGATATCGCGCCCAGCTGTATTACAAAACACTGCATTCGAATTGACCAATCAAACCATTTAGTTCTGATTTAGGAATGAAATGACGTCACGATTTAGTAAAACCGATTCTGATTGGCTGGCACGCAGCTTGCATAAATTTGCAGGTCAGAAGATGTCAGATGTTTTTATATGATTTGGCTCCGTTGATAATGGGTGATACTTAGACTAGGTTTTATATGGCCTAGTATAAATTGACACTTTTCCCAAGGTTTCTGGGCTGAATTGACCCAGGAAGTGGTCCAAAAAAGTGTCACCTTGACCTGGAATTCCGACGTAGCGTGAATTTATGACTCTATGAAATACGGACTCATTGATAGTATTGCGCATGCCTAGGTGGAGATAATAAAGAGAGTGACCGGTCACGTGAGAGGGTTTAACCAATAAAAGGTTTAAGGAATCCAGATTTCATAGGAATCCGATTTTCATATGACACCAGGTCGGTCGGACTAGAATAAATGAAACAGTTTACATGTACATCTTACTCGATTGTGGTTTTGTGTACACTACCAACATTAGGGAGCTTCCTTCGAACATCTCATTTTTAGCCGTTATGTTGAACTCGTACGCAGTTGCTGGATTAAGCCCATTCTTTGTGAATGTTGAATTCTCAACCAAAGCTCTGTTGTAGTTTCCCGATTGAGAGAAGATCTTGTACTTCACCTTGAAAATCAAGATAATATTTGTAGTTGTAAATACAACATATGATTGTAATGCAAACAAACACGACATGAAGTATTGCACTTTTCATTTAAGTCCTGGGTTAACGATAGGAAAATGTTGAACTTGTATACTTTAAAAACCTGCTCGTATTCGGGGTCAACGTGTACCTTGAAACCCCTTTTATCTGTACAACAGAGGTGACAATGAATGTCTTGCACAGTACATTAAAACACTAGGCAAGCCAAGTTAAGATGGTCACAGAGCACAAAAACCTCAGTCTGTTCAACTGATTCATATATCACTGTCAGTGAGTCAGTCAATCAGTCAGTGACTGAGTCAGTCAGTTATGCGCCTATCGATTGTTTCCCATACCCCCCCCCCCCCAGGCTGCCCCACCCAAGACGTGGTGGGATTGTCACTTTTGAAGTGACAAAATCCACACCCCTCGGTCAAAATTTAAGTGACAATCCCCGACCAATCCCCAACATATATACGTGGGGCGCACTAGTAACTGCATTTTCATGTAGCACGCCAATGGTAGCAAAGTAATTTGAGTGACCAAAATCCCCACCCTGGGGCATGAAAAACGTGACCAAATCCCGACAGCGGACCTTGGGCTGCGCAGGGGGGGGGGGGGCATTTGATAGGCGCATTAGTCGTTCGGTGAGATAGGTACATAGAAGACTATAGCTGGACCAGCGAACACCACCAAAACAAGGCTATCGTAATTCACATACGTACTATGTAATAGGAAATGCTGCCCCTTGGTTTGAGAGGTGGGTCCCACTCCAGAGTTATTGACGACTCGTTCGTCTTCGTCCAACGAAGATTGTGAACGATCCCGGGCACTGCCAGGAGAAATGAATTATAAACCAAATAAGTCAGTAGAAAATCATTACAACTTATTGTCTGGTGTTGTTTCAAAGTCGGCATGGATTTACCATTGTGATGAAACCTGGTATGATGAATATGCATGAATAAAAAATATTTGCTTAGATTTTTTTCCACATTTTGGAAATTGTATGACGGTAGAAAAAACGATGCAGAAATAGTGGTGTTTTTTGGTTAAAAGACTTCCAGCTGGTTAAGTGCCAAATTGTACCTTATTCTCCCTTTAAGGGACATTTGAGACAGCCAATAGAAATAGTTTACTTTTACTGAAATATATTCAAAAAAAGGCATTTTTAAGACTTATAAGTGAAATTAAGTGCAAATAAATAAATACAAATAAAAACGTGCTAGCCAGAAATTACAATCGTAAAAAAGCCATGGTATTATTCAATTTGTCTCTTTTTAGTCGGTCTGCATTTTAAGACCATTGACGCTGCAGGCATTTACTTTTGCAATATTAACCAAACTCAAGCAAATAAAATGTCTTAAACACTAGAGAAATATAAATTGATAAAAAATACTGAAAAGCCAAGACTTCGGCAAAGAGCATTACCATACCTCCGATTTGGGTGGTCGCAAATACTTTTTCACTCCATGGACCTGCGCCAACAGACGTTTCAGCTTGCACCTACCAACATTTGAATAAAAGAGTATCACTATAAAAAAGGTCGCGAAGAATATGATAAGCCTGTTCTCGCCGACAGTAAATTCAGTCGTTTTTTTAAGTATAGCCTGCATGCAAGTAATGAATTATTTATTCATCATATTAAAACATCACCCGTTAGAAAATACAATTTATGTCACAAAAGTTACTAGGACACACGGGCTTTTGAAATTAAACGTCTCTCCTTTAGACATTCATGGCACTTTTATAATTTTGATATTTCTGTTAAGAACTGACAAAATATTTACCTGCAAAAAGTATGTCGTATTCGTTTCAAGGCCCGTTATTTCATGCATCAATTGCTCCACGTCGTCGATAGGCATGTTGGTTTCTGACTGCCCACTCCTCCAGTACCTAATGTTGTAATTGGTGATGATTCCTTGTGGAGGGTCGGGTTCCGACCACTGGAGAGTGATGGATACGTCATCAACGTTCTGAATAGCGACATTCAAGGGTACTGTGGGCTCTGTTAAAACCAAGCAACCGGGTGTAAGCGAATAATGCAAACGTTAGACAATGATGACTTAAAGGCAGTGAATATCAGGGAACTTGGATCAAGGTTTTGGTAGTGGTATATTAAAAAAAAAAACTTACTTGCTTCAGCAGTTCTATGAACGACGACACGACTGTAAGGCCCGGCCCCAGCACTGGTGTTTGCAGCAACTTGAAAACTGTAGTTAGTGAAGGGGATTAAGCCATTTATCTCAACTTCCTCGTCTGACGATGCATTTAAGATGAGTTGTGACCCTGGTCCACTCAGCTTGTACGTGTAGCCTGTTATGACGCCACCTTGGCTTCCACACGCTGGCTGACTCCAGGAAAAAGTCAGGCTGCGTTTCTGTGAAGTGACGGTAACTTGCTGCGGTGGTTCAGATGGTACTAAAGTAAATCAAATTAAACATGAATCAAATTCAAGTGAGTTGATTCTTACTGGCATGGCTTTTATAATCACCTCAGTAAGGTCAAAGTTCTAGGTGAATATGAGATGGTATTACCTTTGGTGCTGGTTGTAACACTTATTTGAACTGTTGGTCCGGAGCTTCCATCTACAAAGGCGTTGACTCGTATCTCATACATCGAATTGGCAAACAGATCAGGTATCACCGTCGAGTTAGTTCCAGAACACATACAGTGCTGGGTGAAGTTTAGCGGATCGATAGTTGCACAGCCCTCTTTGTTTTGCAGTGCATACTGGACGGAGTAGTTGGCACAGTACACCTCACCCCAGCTGAGTGTGACACTGACAGAATCGTAAGAAGTCACCATCACAGGGGAAACGGATGGATCTGGGAAAACAGAGACAAGCAAAGGAGCGTTTAATCGTAGGTTATCTTAAATTATCTTTGAGTGCTTACAACTGATGACCATAATTGCTGCGTTTAGTTGTGGATGTGTGGAAAAGTGGTGGGATCAACTCACTATCTTCTTTTAATGTTGTTACAGATGTCGACACATCAGGTCCTTCCGTACTACTGTACTGTGGGCGAATGTAAACCATATAGGTTGAACTAGATATCAAACCAGTGATGACACGACGGGTAGTTTGACCATCGAGTGGACCTGGAAGTGATACTTTCTGTGGAGATTCAATCTCTTCGCATTGGCCTCTGTTTGTCAATGCATACTCCAGTATGTAGCCAGAGACACATGCATCTGGTTGCCAGGAAACTTGTAGTTGATCAGGACCGTCTGAAAGCACCTTTAGCCCCAGAACGCCATAGTCAGCTGCAATTAAACAAACGTGTAACAATTACACGGATCAGCTTAAATGATCCGACAGTATTCCAAATAATATTACAGTTGAAGCAGTGTTACTGATAACATAATACCACATATTATGTTTATCCTGTGTCTTTCAGTTGAAAATATTTTGATCCAGTGTAAATATTGCATTTATATGTCCTGCCTTTCTTTTATTTATCTTCTTCCTCCAGAAGGCGCTATGTTATAATCATGTGCCAACAATTGTTTTAATTGTGCCTACTTCAAATATAAGATGCTTGACGTCTTTTGTTTGTAACTATCCCATCCACTTATTTCTGTGCAGATTATAGATAAGCGGGTATCATATATTTGTATACGAAAGAAATTTAATCAACTTACTAGAACACTGACAGTTACTTCCAAAATAGGGTGGTATGCAATCTGGAATGAAAGACATAGACTGTACACTTTAGTATATTACTTTGTCCTGATGCAACGTATCTATCTACACATTTTAAATAATTAAACATTTCTTTGACTTTTCTATTACACTAGGGTGTCCTTACAACTTAAGTTTATGTTCGAAAATTTAATTTTGAAAACCGTGATTCGCTTCTCATTGTCATTGTAAAAATTCCTTCAACAAGTTGTTCCAATACAAATGTGCATTCTCTTACTTTCAGTACATTCTCCCGTATCTTTCTCGCAGGAATCTCCAGATGGACAGTGACATGTCTGCTTACAGTCGGCTCCATACGTACCTTCAGAACATTCTAGTTTGAAAAAAAGGTCAATTGAGTAAAAGTTGACAACTTGGGACATAAAATAGTGCGTGCCCTATTAGGTGACGAATCAGCGAAATAGTAAAAACTCTGAAGAGGCGGCTGAGCTAGAACACCTCTGATTATACCGAAAATATCTGCTCACAGAAACAAGTTCCTCTCATGAAACAATGGAAGTTACATTTAAAATTGCTTGCAGTTTTTAGACCCTTGGTCTGCAAATAAAAACAATTAGTACTCAACATCGTTTAGGTTTGCGTACACCATGTGGTAATAACTACTGTCGCTCAGTAGATGTTTAGTTCTGATAAGAACAGTCCGGCTGAGTTCTAAAAGAACTTGTCTTTGGTCTCTAATGAATACTCTAAAGTAAACAAGCAAAACAGGATGTTGCTAATTCCTTACCTTGCGTGCAGTCTAGTCCCGTATACCCAGCAGCACAGGAGCATCCGTAAGGACCAGGAAGACAAAACAAGCGACCCTGGCAAGCGTCGTTGTGTGGATCAGTGCTATCAGAACAGGTATGACTAGCATTCTGGCCAAAGACATGACGCCCGTGAACTGAATGGAAGAGCATGACATCACCAGAATTAAAGTCTAATCAAACCAAACTACAGCTTTGTTTTACGAGAAAAAAAAACTTTGAAATGTCAGCTAAGGTCATAAAGAATGTTACCTTGCTGGCAATATTCTCCATTGAATCCTGGAGCGCAGATACACGTTCCCGTCTTATCATCACAGATACCTCCATTGTAGCATCGACGACAGGTGTTCTGACATGAATCCTGGCCCCACATACCTGCAGCACAACCTGTAAACAGAAATGGATGAAACTTTACGAGATTTTGGAAACATTTTAATAGAAACGATGGATTGACAGAAATGCTGAAAACATACCCCTCACGATGAGTCTCATGAATCCCTGTAGTTGTTTTCTTCTTTTCCCCGCGATGTGCAAGCTGTATATCCCGCCATCATCTACAGTAGCATTATTAATAGACACACTGAGCTGGTTGTTCCATGCTGTGATGACGTCACCTCCATCATGCCTCCATCTGTAGTTGCTGTTAGCAGGTGAATTCACATTCTCCATCTCTAGTACCACCGACTCTCCGATATTGGCAATCTGTGTTCGCTGTGTAGGTTGTGTGTGGACTGTGCTGTCTGCAGTTAGATCACAAAACATTGCAATAATCAGTAATGACCATGGAAACTCACTTGTTACACATTTTGTGAGGAAACATCCCCAGCTCTATTACCTGTGTGTCGAAAAGTAATTGAACAAGAAGCTAGACCAGCTCATTCTTAAACATTTAATTTGAACATTAATTTGTTCACTGAACATTGAAGAATATGAAACTTATGCAGAAAAGTAAATAACCAACAAATTTGAAATCATTTTAAAGACATTTTTTTGTTGGAAGATTGCATTTCTTGTATACAAAAGTGCAAATTGTTTTCGGCATCATTAAGTTTGTCATAAATTGCATAATTTCGTACACGTTATCATTGTTTTGGGCCAAATAAAGAATATGGCTGCCTAAGCAATTTTCAAACTGATTAGTCGATTTTTCGTACTGACAGATGCTCACGAGTTTTTGAGTTATACCAAAATGTTTTAGAAGGACTTTCTGTTTTGGTTTAGTGTATCAGCTTACCATCTTTGTTCAATATGATTGTCTGTATCCTGGTCACGCTTTCATTTTTGACAGCTTGAGCGTAGAAGACACCCGTTCGGTCAATCCCCGCTGATTCAGGTAACGTACTGGACAGTGTAACTGCACATATCGTCTGTGGATCATCCACAACCATCGATCCTGCTGGTAGTTTGACATTGCTACCTCCTGTGGTCAGTTGTCTGCCGAAGATGATCCCGGCGGAGGCATAGTTAGGACCCTTGTAAGCTTGGATGACTGCATTGTCGTCTCCTGTCTGACCAAGACGAGCGGGTTTGGCCACCAGAGTAAAATCCACACCGATTTCTGGGAAGTAAATTTATGCATACAATTTAAACTTTGCCGTAAGTATGCTGCAGTGGGACAAAGAAAGCGCTCGTGAAATAATTAAGGGATTATTTCTCCAAATAAAAAAATATGTCATGGGATATTTCTTGGAATGTTTTAGCAAGAAACGTTTGAATACTAAAAAAATGCAAATACAATTTGTAGATTTTACTGAAAACCTTTACTTTTATGCAATACAACTGTTGATAAAAACACAAATATTTATCATTTTAATTGATCAGCAACTTCTGATTAACACGTGATTTATATTGTAACTGACAGATGCGAAGAGAGCTCTGCAGCAACTGGACAAGTCAATCAATTTATTTTCAGTGAAATGTGTTTTAATAATGTCGCCCACACAATGGAATTTGCCGGGAAAGCTCGCAAATAGTATTTACTTTGATAAATCACCAACGATGTTAATTTCCACCGAAGAGAAATTTGTTTAGGAAAGTAGAGAATACTTAACCTCAAAAACCTTAAACAAATTATGCAGTTTTACAGATCACCTCTGAATTTACCTTCGACACTTGTGTCTTGGATTTCCTCCACCATGACTTCGGCCATGTGCAGAAAATCATCTCTAGGTCGATCCACACTGACGTATCGGGCGGAGACGACAGGGTCCACTATGAAGTCAATGTCTATGCCTATGGCTTGCGATTCGGTGATTGTAGAGCCTATCATTGTGTTCTGGGAGTGGTTCGAACTCAAACCAGCTCGCACTACGGCATCTCTCAATCGTCGAGCTGCAAATTAATTTAAAACCATCAAATATTTAGAGTATTTCCTCTTCATGAGTTTCCATAATATATGCCTATCGGGTGTTGCAGTTCCGACGGTTCTAAATCGTAGGCCAGTAAACGCAATTGATCTGCATTAGCTTTTAGAAAAATAAATGAATACGAAGAAAATAGTTCATTTCACTTTTTACTTTTTGCTTTTGCCGGATTGCCAACAATGTGCCAATCCGGCTACAAAATTGACGATCGTGCCTAGTCATACCTTTTACACAAATTCTACATAGAACATGATATTACGATCACCCCATGTTTGAAAACGAAAAACTAAATCCCAGATTCATAAACTACGATTGAAATTGTTTACCGCGCCTGGAACTGTAGAATACTTACCACATACATTGCATTGTTGCGCGTTGATGACTGTAATTTTCTTCAAGCAGTAGATAGCCTCAAGGTCTACTTTCCACCATTGGTTTTGGCCGCCAGCTTTAACATAAATAGTCATTTATGCAGATTTAAATTTCCGTTTCCTCAATTGTAACATAATAGCTCTGAAAAAAAGTGGAAATCTTCAAGCCTTTCAGACATTTGCTAATGATTTGCCACTGCGTCACTTTAATCATGCATTAGGCCCGCAGCTTTAATTTGGGACACGAATGTCGCACAGAAATAAAATGACCCTTGATTGGCAAAAAAAGTAAGAGGGAAAATTTGCACTCGGTTTTCCATTTCGTATAAACACTGTATGCTTAGGGTGTTACCTCCCGAGTGAAAGTTGGAAATAATCACTCGGTTGGGACTCGACCCACGACCTCCCGCTTTCTAGTGCAGATGTCCTACCACTCGACCACCGAGCTAACGGGATCGGTTGGCTGATTCGAATCCAATGTACATAGCAGCGGGTACCGCATAAACTATTATAAGATGGATTTTTGCGTCGAGTCCCACCCGAGTGATTTTTCCCCCCAACTTTCACTCGGGAGGTAACTCACTGAGTATACAGTGTTTAAACGTCGGTGAAGGGCAAAACCTAATTTGATTTATATCACCCCGACGCAAAATTCGACCTGATAACTTAGGCTTTATTAATAACAATTATATATTGATTGTATTATTGTTCCTTGAATCTGCAAAAAGCCGATTTTTTTTTTCATTTCTTGTATACTTGTTTTACACATTATACGTTCGTTCAAAGCCGCGCCAACAAAAAGAGCTGAAAAGGTAACAATGAAGACGAAGGAAGGAAATGAAACCTGTATAGACATTAATATATGTTCCAGTTACAAAAAAAAAGTGAAAACAAATAATAATTTTACCCGTGTGGCTAATGCTTCCCCGATTGCCATCTACTGCATTAGACGCAGGCAAATCAACATGGGCGTAATTTGTTCTCTGATCAGTCGGCTTGTTCCGCAGATCGAGGGCCAGACCTGTGTAGAAAATTGTTATTAAACAGTGTTCATATTTTCACTTTATATTAGAATGCACTTTAAACCTTACAATCAAGAAAAGGCGGTTTCGTAAAGCCAAATTTTCATCATTTAGACATTATCAAAGTGGCAGTACACCATCAAACGATGAACTTATTTTAAAGTCATGTTCTTCTAGAATATTGAACATAATTATGAATGATTGCAGGCGCCTGTCAATCAAATGTGTTGTACTGTGTAAACGAGTATGTGACTTTTTTGTTTCAGATTTTTTTCCACCGTAGAATTGAAATATCATTTTGTGGAGAGACTTGCCATAGTCCCCCTTTTTCAGGTGTTTAGAACGTCACAAGTTAATTTCTTAAGTTTTACACATTTTGAATGATTCCTTGACAAGTAGAAGTTCTCCTCCACTTCTGCACAGCGTGTACAAGTTATTGAGAATAATATTAATAGCATATAGATCATGGCACAAGCAGGACATTTTGACATTAAACCCTTATAAAATAATACCTTCCATTCCCAGCTTTTGTTTTGAATTCATTGTGAATCACAGAGCTGTGAGGCAAATTCACCTTTACTGGCGGTTGCTGGCATTATTGATTTCCAAAGTAGACTACACCAACCCCCAGGCCCAGCCCCTACCCCCCCCCCCCCCATCAGTGACTGGACTCTAAAAACTGTGTTAAACACAATTAAACACAATTTTGCTATCACTTTGTAAACATGTTTAGATGCTAAACATTATGTGTTCAATTCCTTAACATCAATGTTCAATTGCTAAACACTATCCATCCTCACTCTAAACATGATTAGTATGTAAACATGTTTACAAACTGATAGCGAAAAAGTGTTTAGAAAAGTGTTTAATTGCTAAACACAGTTTTTACAGTGTGATGTTTTCTACTCTACAAAAACCGCGTTTAGCAATTAAACACTTTGCTAAACATGTCCTTGCTATCAGCTTGTTAAGGTGTTTAAGTACTAACATGTTGGAGAATGGATGGATCGTGTTTAGCAATTGAACATTGATGTTACACATTCTAAACATTTTACAAAGTGATAGCAATATTGTGTTTAATCGGAATAATTACTGTACTAATTGTCAAAATAGTGACATCTGTCACTACCTATAAGCCCTGCTTGTGAGGGGTATTAAAAGAAAAACTGAGTCTGTTTACAATGTTCAACATGATTTTATGCGGATGGTTTTCACATGATGCATCATAACATTTCCTCAATCGGAAGATAGATTTCGGGGAAGAATCAGGTTTATCCGTAAGCTACCCAAAAATAACAGGGCTATTTCATTAATTCCAAATTGTGTACTATAATTCTTCAACTTGTCCACAACCAACTGATTTAGATAAACACGATTTATATCTGTGTTTCTTCTACTGTATTTAACTTGGTGCGTTGTTGGCCTTTTGTTAATAAAATGAAAATTGTTTTGTCAACTATTAAGGGAATAAATGTGTGTTCGGGAGGAATTATGAGTAATTTCATGTAAATACTTCATATAAGTGTTCACGCTCAAAAAAAAATTCGAAATTTTTAAACCTTGTGGGATAAAAGGACTTAGGGAGCAAGTAACCAAAATAGACTTTTCGAAATTGTATTTTGCCCGTTGCCATGGTTACCGGCCATTATGTGTTTTGGCCATATTTGGGCAATTTTGAGGCTGCAAAAATTCATTTTTTGCGTTATTTTCAAAGGTCATCAAGCCAAACTGCGAAGTAATGTCACAAAAGTAACTATAACACGACAAAGTATCATCCTTACCCGTACAAGAAAAAAATAGAATAACTTCTGAAAAATCTCCTTTATATTAGTGTGGCCATGTTGACTAGTGATGACAGTTTGGAAGAGACTCAAAATGTCATGCTGATTACGAAATTACGATTTTAGAGGGCATAGGAGCACCCACAATAGTACTATATTCGACTTTATAATTATATGCTTTATCTGACCATATTTACACGTAGGGCCATTCAATCAATCAAAATAGATGCCTTTTTGAGTTTTCACTATAGTTTTTTTAAGGTACATGTATTTTAATATAAAAATATGAGTTATTTGCTCTCGTAATCGCCAAATCACTTCTCTGTATTGAAAATAATAAAATAAATGCAATTTTGTTAAGTTAAAACAATTACAGTATTGTGTATATGTACCATGTACATGTTTTAATATTACACCCCCGCACTTTCCAGATATTCCATATCACTCCCACGTTGACAAAAAAAATAGCCAAACTTACATAGTGCATATCAATATGTGGACTTTCCGCAAGGCAATATGTAACCTTAACAATAATACATATTCTGTACAGTTCTTTGGGAGGGGGAGGGGTTGTTGCTCATAATGAGCACTGGGGTAGGAAGAGGGATGGCAGGGGGTGGGCTGTGAGACGGGTACACCTGTTGCAAATTCACTTGCAAATTGATACCTATTAACAATATTAATAGGGCAAATACATGCGGAAATCAAAATCTGAATTTGGTGGCAAGGGAAGGGGCGGGGCCTATCTGGGAGGGAAGGACTGGACATTTTCTCATTTGAATAATGGTGTATTTCAATCAGAGGACAATGGATACGGCCTTTATTATTCATTGCGGCTTGCAAACACATGAGTTTTGCCCATGTGACAATGATTTTACCAACAATGCAAAGTTATTGGTGGGTGGTCACACCCCACCCTCAACCCCAAGCAATGCCCCCGGGGATGGGGGAAGGGGATGCTTTGAAAAGGAAGTATGTTATTTCTTAAGTGTTCACTTGCATATTATTTATTTACATTTGTTTCGTTATGCAACATACAGTTCAAAATTCGGTGGCACAGGGGGATTGGGCGGGGCTTAACCAGGTGTGTGTGTGTGTGTGTGTGTGTGGGGGGGGGGGTACACGAGCTACTATTCATCCAATTGTCTTAAAAAGATAAACAATCTGATTCTGTTTGTGAGAAATGTGCTAGATTCATGAACAATAACAATTATACAAGTTATTACTCAAAACAAAGGAAAACACTGAAAATACACTTTTAAAGGTTTTTGTGAAATTTAACATTTTTGGAGCGCTACTGCATATAGGCTAAACATTAACCCAAAATGTTCTCACAAATATGAAAAGATCAATGTCTGAACCAACCATAGCCGAAGGGAAATTATTCTGAGTGTCCAGGCAAGTGCAAAATGGGGTAAAAAAATGCAATTTTGCTAGTTGCAAAAACATGCTGTATTATAGGTCCTAACAATAATATAGAGGAGATTTTAAGAAGTGTTTCTTTTTTTTCTTGTAAGGGTAAGGATAATACTTTGTCGTGATATAGTTACTTTTGTGACTTTACTTCGCAGTTTGGCTTGATGACCTTTGAAAATAACGCAGTCTCAAAATTGCCCCAAAATGGCCAAATGGCCCGTATTTTGGTTACTTGCTCCAAAGTCCTTTCATCCCAGAAAGTTTAAAAAAAAATCGAGCGTGGACATTTACACCAAATGACTCTTATAACCTCTCT